TGCTCCGTGTTTTAATTACCTCTTCATTCTTTCCTAGAGGCAGAGAGAGGGCAGCAGTACCTGCAGGCGGGCTGTGAGTCTTAAACAGAAATAAAGGCTGCGGGGGGGAGGGATTTATATTGCAGATTTGGAAAAAAACAAACAAGCAGTTTTTTCTCCAAAATCTCATTGTAAGTGATTTTGTGTACAGGAAGCAGTTTCTTTTATTTGTAAAGCAATGTGCTGTTGGCTGAATGGAGAGTGAAAAGGCCAACGTGGAAGAATCAGTCTTTAGGTGTAGTGCTAAAAGCTGAGGCACGTTTATCCCTGAAGGTCTCAGGTTCTGAATGCACTACAGGCATCTGACAAAACTGAATAATTAAAGGCAGTCCTAATGGCTTATTTTCTCCTAGCTATTTAAATCTTTCACGAGCCTGTCAGTTACAAGCATCAAGAACAGAACATTGCCTGTAGTTGTAAGGAATATTTGCATCACAGGGAGAATGATTACCTGGTTATACATCTGCTAAGCACTACAGTTCTCATATGGAAAGGCATGCCTGACAAAAAGAGAATGCTGTTTCGGTGTTCCTCCTACTGATCTCTGCATTTATATATTGAAAAACAAAACACTTTCTGCTTATTCCAGTTAGAAGCTCACAGTGTGATTACACTGAATGTTTACATATTTTCAGTAAGACCTTCAAGTAACCAGGAAACAGGAGGGAAGTTCCCTATTCTGTAGCAAAAGCAAACTGCCTTACATTTAGTCCTACCAGGACACAATTTAGTTTGTTCTGGGCATATGGAACTACTCCAGATAGACATTTTCACTGCATTCTTACTTAAATTACTTGGTGTGTTTCTCTAGGTTACAATTAAGTCATCTTTTCCCACAAAGAAGTGTGTGTTTTGGAACCTTCTGTAATGGGAGAACATAATGTTCTTTCTAAAAGGGTTTATCTGCTGGAGCAAAATGAACTGCCTTGGTCTTTTTGGTCAAAAGCGATGGACTTTGCTGATGGTGACAATGTGGTGCCGCTGAGATGACCCAGTGATTTTCCTTGCATTTGTAAGGAAACAGCATAGTAACAGTGAATCCATGGTCTGGTCCAGCAGTGTGATGAAACGAGGCCTTTTTGAAAATAGATAGTGGAGACAGGACCCATCATCTGGGGTACGTCTGTGTGTCACCTGTACTAGAGAAAGATCAGGCAAGATCAACTGCATTCAGAAGGAATTTAAAATCAGATTATTTTAGTGCAAATTAGAGGTTGGTTTTAATTGATGCTACCGAGGTGCTGTGAAGGAAATGCAATACCTGGGACACGTTAGAAGGCCCATCCTTTTTTTTCCCCCAGAGACCCGTGGTGTTTGATGTGCAGTGAACAAGTTAACTTGCAACTTGTTCACCTTTGGAAGGTGATTTAGAAAGTGATGTTCTCTGCCTGTTCTTAGGCTCACAGTGTTTCTCCTGATGCGGAGAGAAATTATTTCAGAACTAGAGCCAGAGGCACTGCTGATTCATTTGCATTATCCATCTTTTGCGCCTGGAATCATTTGGCACAAAGGAAATTCCCCTGCTGTGCTCTGTCTCACCCTACTGAGACCTTCTAGAAAATGTTCTTAGAAAATAAGTCTGCTTTCTGTTGTGACCCAAAGGAATTAATAGCTTATTGCTGAAGGGCTTGAATGTAGCAGCGTTTCCTTGCGTTGCAGGAAAAAAACCAACATCTTGAAGTCTTCACTAAAGTCTCTACCAAACTAACAGTAATGTCCTCTATGTTCAGCACCTTGTATTTGATCTGCGTAGATACATAGATGCGCTGCTCAAAGGACATGAGATGCTGCATCCACCTGTTTAAAGCGAGGCCCTTCAGGCTAACGTAGTCAGGACAGGAAGGAAATTAATTAAAGAAAAGAGGGATTAATAGTTGTAGAAAAAATAATCTGAAAGTTTTGTTTTCTCTGTCCCTGCTTTAGTTATGCCTATGTGTCTGTATGGGAGAAGAGAATTCACTGTTAACCCTCATATGATCAGAGGGTATGGTATAGTTGTGCAGGAAACACTTTGTGGCTTATTCAATTATCTGCAGTATGCACTTTTAGCTTGATTATGCTTGAATTATCTGCCTTCTCTGTAAGGGGATTGCTGGACTCCGTTCTTCCATTAGCTGAGTGATTACCAGGCAAGCAGAGAGAAGGCTTGTAATTTCCTTTTGGCAAAGGATGGCCCAGAAGACCAAGTGGCAATTAAGTGCCCGCTCTGCTTAAAGAGCAGCAGGAAAAGTTGAGAGAGAAACTGAGGATGGAGCAAAGCAGAGCCTGTTTCTGAGCGTGGTCCACTGGAGGTATGCCAGCAGCAACTCTGAGTCTAGGAACACAAAGGTGGGCAGCATTGCTTCCAGGTCAATTTTGGAAGGCAAATATTTCTTGCTTAAAATCAAGAAAAAGGTCAGTAGCAGAAGTTGAAGCTTTTTTTTGACAATTTGTGTTCCCTTTTGTCTCTAGTGCAGGAAGTGCCTGAGGGGTAGACAAACTTCAGTCTGGAATTTCCCCTTTTCATTTCTTATATTCAACTTAAAATGCAGTGGTGAATAACGCTTAAAAACTCAAGGCGACGCTAGCAAGAAGTTACTTCGAACTTTCCAGTGCAGTGAGTGCATTGCCAGCCTTGGTCTCTAGCACCGCGCAGTGGTGTCAGAGTGTCAGAACTGTCTGAAGCAGTCTTTCCTGCTCGCGTATTTGTACCCAGTGCTCTGGGCTACAGGCTGCACACACGCTGCAAATCGAGACTGCTTTCCTAGCGTCTGTTTTATGGCCGGGGAACTGACTGATGAGGTGGTTGTGTTTTGTATGTCACAACTTGTACTCTAAGTCATGCTGCTTGTTTTCAGTTGTTTGCCGTCAGCTACAAACCATGCCAATGAAGGGGTGAAGTTGCATCTCAGAGGCATTGCTAATCTTTAATAGGTACGTAGTTGTAATTGTAGAGTTTTGAAAACAGGCATTCGTGGTTCTTTGTGCCAAGAAGTGTAACCAGATGTGAACACCTTTCCCTGTGTTAGGATATTAGTGCATTGTAATCAAAGGAAAAGGGCACTTGCATGAACATCTGTAGGAGGGCTGGAGCCTGAGTAAGAGCATAGAGCAGAAATAGCATAAAGCATGAAGGGAAGGTTTCAGTAGGTCATGGTTTGAATACGGGGCCCTGTTATCAGTAAAGTCTATAGCAGCCTGAAGAGGAGTTAAAGTAAGAGAGCTGTGATAGTTGTGGATGAACTCTGAAGCTCAGCAGTAAGTGAGGGAATAGGGAAATCAGAGCGAACTGAAGGAAATTGGCTGAGAATTTGTAGTTCTGTATCCCGTATGTCAAACTCCAAAGGTTCTGTGGGATTTGTCACAACTGACTCTTAATTGTTCCATGGAGGTATGGCCTCTGCTGGTAGATTACATGTATTGTCATCTCCTTTTGTCTTAAACTTAACAAGTTCTGCTTGGATTAAGTTGAAATGGATTAAAAACTGTTAATGCCCTGATAAAATTTATCTTGATAAAACGAGAGGCTAGTTGTGTGTTAGATATTCGCATTACCTTTTACGAGATGTAAGGTTTTTTGAGGAGCATATAGATGTGATTTCAGAGTACAAAGCTGTTATTTATTGCAATCTGCATGCAATCCTGGGTAGGACTAATAATTGGCCTTTGGATCACAGCTACGTGGAATGTTACAGAGGGGTAGAAGTGTCCTCCCTGTGCTCTTTGATCTAAAGCGCTCTGCACCACAAAACTTTGTACTGTGCAGAAGGGGGGCTTCATCAGTTGTCTGAAAAATACATTTGATCCTGCTTCTGTTCTGCTCCTGCTGCTGAATATTCTCAAATTTCCCTTCTGGGAAGGTTCCAAACATGGGGAGCAGTGTCCTACTGGTATACAGCCCACTTATGTCCTGAACCTCAATCATATTTGCACACTTGTCAGTGAATGCAAGTCATTACCATGTGTTTGGTGTGATCGGGTTGTAGCGATTCAGCTCTGAAAAGCTGTGTGTACAGTCTGCCAAATGAAACACAAGCACACAAGTATCTATAGCAGTGGGCCTGGCCTTCTGATTTTTAGAACAGAACAGTGTGGTAAGTTCTAAAAGAAACCAACTGCGCTGGCTGAACAACGTGTCAGTCACATGTAAGAGCGGTTGTCCAATATGCCAAGAAATCTCGGAGGCAGACTGTGTGTGTATTTGTGCCTGGTCTCTTTTGAGTCAGTTAGAAAGAGAGATCTTAATGTTGTTATATGATCTTAGTGATACTTTGCACACGATGTTAATTCTAAGTCCATGCATTATTCCTGGATATAGGGTCAGTATCTTTTTACATAATGTGAAATTACAAAAGCAGTACAATAACAGCCTTTTGCATCTCACTTTCCCATTTTGTACAGTGGAGTAATTCGCTGAAATTAAAACCTCAAGAAGTCCATGTTTCTTCAGCCAGATGCCAAACCCTGATGTGGTCTTGGGTCAGTGGTAGTTGGGTTTTGTTTTTGTTTTTCATTTTTTATTATTAGCTGCTTTTATGAGGCTGGGAGTTGGATAAACATTCACAACTTCAGAAGAGTCTACAGGTTGCTTTCCAGCTTGGAAGGGAATCCCGTGCACATAGAAGTAGAAATAGACAAATGGTTTCTTATAAAGCAATTTCCTAACAAATGTATTGTGTGCTAACCTTTACCCTCCAGTTTTCCTCTGTCCTTGTAGAGATAAGGGGGTTCTTAGGGGCGAGCAGGGTGTGTGTGCAGGGTTATCTGTTTGTTCATCTCATAGGCAGATTTGTTTTTTTCCTCCAGGAAAACACAATAATATAAACTGTGCCAACATGTTTGAAACTGACAAACAGCTTCCAGAGCAAGACAGAAACATACATATGTAGTCTGGATTGAGTCCAAAGCATCTTTACCTCTGAACTGGTTTAGGCGAGAGAGACAGGATGTTCCACAGAGCACAAAGCCATGTGATTAAAGATCATGAACAAACACAGAGTATATTATTAACAGATCACCAGACCACATTTCACGTTGGGTTTTCTGGCTGGTAACCCATGGAGGTGACTCAGGAAGTTAACAGAGACACCAAGGTCTGGTCTGTTCCTGCATAACGAATAGTCAGAAAAGATTCCTTGAAGCTGTCTTGTATGGCAGTCTAAGAAAACTGTTCACACAGGTGCTGACAGTGGTGCAGATATACTGCCGTGGAACTCTGCTTGGTGTGCTGAGAACTTTTTGGTAATTCCTAACAGAGGTTTTTCCTCGACTCATAGTTCAGCATGTGTTCAGCAATCAGGATCACTGTTCTTTCCAGGCTCCTTGTGCTGTCGATGTCTTTCATTCCTTTCAGTGACCTTCTGTCTGTCCTATCTTGTGGCTCCTTCCATTTTTTTTGATCCCTCCAGATTCTGATCAGCAGCAAATCTAGGCCACGATCTTTGTGGGCAAACTCTGAGACATGAGGTGAGGATGCATGTAGTTTAAGGTATGGGGTGAAGGGTAGGTGATGCTTGGAGACTTGTGAAGCACTTGTCTAGCAGTTGGCAAGCAAATTTGCTGGGAATTGTAAAACCTGGACCTTTTTTGTGGCTGCTTGTGGCATTGGGATATTCTGCTCCTGGGAATTTGCATGCCTCTGACCCCAGGAAGTCTCAAGATATCCACAAATTATTAGTGTATAAATGTTTCTTAAGGAAATTCAGCAGAAAAGTCTCAGAACCACTGCATCCTATCCTGTCAGTTTGTCTGCCCATGTGGGGGGGCTTCTGCTCTTCCCTGTTAGTAAGAGGCTGAAGTGACAGCAAATGTGGGTGAATTCTGGTGTTTTACAGAAACTTCTGTGCTGTCTGGGCAGTGTGTGGGGATCTGGGGAAGGGAGCATGATCTGTGTGGATTTCTTTTTTTCATAGAAGGTTACTTTATTACAAATAGACACATGTAACCTGGGTTTTCCTTTCCAGGGCTTCACAAATGCTATCAGGTTTTTTGTGTCTGTATTTAACACTTTTAGCCAAGCAAAGTGATCTGATTGTGGTTCAACTCCCCTCAGTGTTGCAGGCTCATCATATTTAATGTGCATTTTAGCCAGGAGGGAAAGGAGCATTTGGTGCTGTGGAAGCAGTGGGTGTTGGATCCCTGACATAACATGACAGCTTTTCCTGTATTGCCCACAGCATCACTCAGGAAATTGCCTCTCAAAAAGATGCCAGCTCCCTCTCCCCTGGAGTCAAAGCAAAATGTATTTTTTTTTTTTTTCTGACACTTCCTCACTCTTTATTAACTCTTCTTTGTTATTGCTGAAACGGAGACATCCCAAGGGCCTCTGAGCGTGGTGATGCTTTAGATGAAAGGAGACCTGCTGTGGAGCAGCATGTACCAGAGCTCCAACGAGAGGCCCCTGGGTGCTCACCTAGGAGAGGGGGAGTGCAAGCATGAATCACAGGTGGTAGAACTGGGAAAGCAGCGGTGTCAGCACGGTTATTGCTTGAATCACTTTTAGCTAGCAGCCGGTCAGCTGGCAGATGGTTGCAGCCTGAAGTGAAAGCTTATAACTCACCAGCCAGCAAATAGTCCCAAAAGTGAATATCTGCATTTCGTCAGCATTTTGTATTGCCTTTGTGAAAAATGGTATTCATTTGCAGGTAATTGGTTGTGCTTCAGTTTCCTGTGGCTTCCTGTGCATTCATCTGTGTTAGGTCAGCTCAGCTTCTTTATAAGCTTGGAAATGTTCTTAAAATCTAATGAGTTTGCAGTGTGAAAGAGTACTAGTAGATCTCAAACAGCCAGACCTGGGAGGCTTTCTACCAACCTGCTCTGCTCAGCAGTGCTGCAGCCACACCTGGAGTTCTGTGTCCAGATCTGGACCCCCGAGTGCAAGGGCGACCTAGGCATACTGGAACATCCAAAAAGACTACCAGGCATACTGGAACATCCAAAAAGACTACCAGGACAATCAAGGGACTGGAGCACCTCTCCTCTGAGATGGGGCTGAGAGCTGGGACTGTTCAGCCTGGGTGAGGCTCGGGAGAAGGGAGACCTTATCAATATCAGAGGAAGAGCGCAGAAGAGCCTTACTATTTTCTGTGGTGCCCACTGCCAGAACAAGAGGCACTGGGCATAAACTGGAACACAAAAGGTTCAGTCTAAACATCAAGAACCACTTCTTTACTGTGCAGGTGATGGAGTAGTGGCAGAGGCTGCCCAGAGGGGTGTGGAGTCTTCCTGTGCTCGGTGTGATAAGCACCACTTTAACGGAGTCTTTTCCACTTGCCTGAAGGAAAGCAGTAGCATAATGCTCAGTGATGCAGCAGGTGTTTCAAAAACCCTGCCAGCACAGGGATTACCCCTTTACCTCCATAAGCATGTAGTAGAATTTCAGAAAAACAAATGCCCGGGAATAAACATTATTGGAGAGGCTTCCTTGGATAGTGTTTTTGTGACCAGACTCTTATGGTCTTGTTTCTATGCTGTCCCTAAAACATGAGAGCAAGGAGCAGATCAGCATAGGAAATACAGCTGGAAGATATGCCTGTTTTGCTGTGGAGGAATCATTTACCTTTGCACTGCTCACTTGCTTCTTGTATTCAGATTTACCATGTCCTACATGGGAACATTCCTCTACCATAGCCATAGCATTCAGGAGGAGCTAATTAAGCAATTATGTTATCAGGTGATGGGAGTCAAAATCTCATCTATGCAGCGCATGGACTTAGCAGTCTGACTCATTGTAGTTTATGACTTACTATTATGTAATCGGTGCGTTGCTCCATAGGTGCATGCTGCGCAAAACAGAAGTAAACAGCTGCTCTGCCATCTGTGTTACACATATGGAGATCATGACTTCGGTCAGCTGGCCGTAGAGAAAGGTGACAACAGACTCCTAATCATCAGCTGTGAGTGCACGTACCACAGTTGTTTTTGTGGCAATCGCTAATGGCAGAATCCACAGCAGTGCTGTCAGTACAACACAAGACAAGGTGTTTACATAACACGGGGTACCCCAAAACCCTATATTGAAGTGTGGGAGAGGGTGCAGTGTGCTCAGCAAGACAAACTTTGTGCAGTGAGATTAGAGCAGAGCGTAATGCAGAAAATGCCACTGTTGAATTGATCTGTTCTCATAGTGGGAATTCTCTGTAAATGCTGGAACAGAGTGGCAAGAGAATGACAAAATGTCTTGGCTTGGTAGAACAATGTGATTTTTAAATTGAAAGAGACACTATAACTCTTGTTAGAGTATGTTGTTTCCTTCCCTTTCATTGACAGTACAACAGAAGGTATTGGTTCGGGTTCATGGACTAGATTTGGTAGCAATATTTCTCCTTAGGCTTGAGAAGCTGTGCAGAGGTAGGTATGGATGACTCCCTCTGCCTCTCTTGTCTGATAGGCAGTCAGTATGGATGGAAGAGGCTAAATTAAAAACAGTAAAAGTAGACTTTCTGGTTTTTCTTGATAGCTGGTATAAAGGACAGAAGGGAGCAGTCTGTGCGTTGCAATTAATATCCAGTGCTATTGCAGCTCATCCTGTAATGTGATATAGATATTATCTCAGCACGGAATTGAACACTGCACTGAGTCAGGAACACAGAGCAGTGTTGGGTTTTGAAGAAAGTAATTGACCTTAGGGACCTGGTGAGTTTCTCATTTCCTCTGTGGTAAACACAAGGAAGCGGGGGAGTACTTCCCATAGGCTCCCAAAGTCAATTTAAACAAGGTACACAGCCAATTATAAAACAAAGTCTCAATAAATGCATAGTAGGAGGCAGGCACACCTCCCATCTTCCTGCAATGCCCTTGATATCAGTGCCACACTGACTTTCTTGCATGAACATGGAATCCCCTGCATGTGTGTGTATACTGAGCCACTCCTGAGCCTAGCTGCTAGAGAACACAGCCTGCTGCAGCACCTCTGTGGTGCCACTTGCGTGCAGTGCTATGCCTGTCCCACCAAGGGCAGTGCTGGTGTGACGGGCCTGCATGGATCAATAGATGGATCAATATTAGCTGTGCTTGTATGGAACCAGGTGTTGTAGGTCTGTCCTCTGTGTGCTGCCTGGCCATCGCTCCCCCCATCCCGCAGTACAGCAGTGGCCCCATCCTTCCTTGTGCCACCCTGTGCTTGGCCTTCAGAAAAGCAGCGATTGGAGGATTTCTGGGACTCGCTAACGATGTGAACTCTGCTTTCCTTCTCCAGGAGAAGATTAGAAGTCCAAATTGCACAAATAACTCCTGGTAGCCAAGAAAGCTTTGATCTTGATAATGACTGGATGCCATGGCCAGAAGCTGTAGGTCACAGGATTCATACAAGAAACAAGGAATCAAGCTGTTCAGGTAACGTGACGGGGAAGACAGTAATTGCTTGTTTCAGTTTGGTATAGCAGCTCTAGCTTAGACTGACAGATTACTGATGTTTGTTCAATGGCAATGTTCCAGTTTTTCACAAACCAAAGTGGTACTTTGTTAAAAAGCCAGCTTGTTGAAAGTAATGTCCACCAGCTTTTACTGTGCCCTGCTTTGTGTATTTGTCAGCAGTGGGGTTATTTCTGCTTTTTAAAGCATCTTTAAACATATAATTGCATTAATTAATGTAGGCAGTTTAGGAGTCTGGTGGAATCCACGCTCAGGAACTGCTTAATAGCTCAGATAAAAGTCCTATGACAGTATGCTAGGGCTAGACATGCAGGTGGTGTGTAAACTGGCTTGTGTGTAACTTCTTTATGTTCTCACATTGTATTCACCTCCCACTGACTTCCTTGAACCCACTCAGTTGACATGTAAGGGAAGCCAGGGTGGTGTAATTTACATGGTAAACTCTCACCATATAAGCATTAAGAGCATATAATTGAAATGCTTGTTTAAACTTGTTGTTTTGCTTTTTTTCTGTCATACTTTGTTGAACACAGTGCAAATACAGCGTGAGCCACAGACCTTGCTGACTTGACTGTGTGTTTACAATAGTATAAACTTCTTCAGTGTAGTACATGTGGAAAGGAGACTTCATTTGGATTTGGCAATGGAACAAAAGCATTTGCGTATCTGGACTGAATCTCGTAAAATCACTGAGCATCCTGGGCTGGGAAGAACATGAGGATCACAGAGTCCAACTCCCGGCTCCACACAGGACAACCTAAGAACGAAGCCAGGTATTGAAGAGCATTATCCAAATGCTTCTTGAATGCTAACAGGTTTGTGGCTATGGCCACCCTCTCACTGAAGAATATAATTGCTAATGAGTTTCCCAAACTGGCTATGGCACTAAGGCTCAGTGCAGCAGAGCTGACTCAGTCAAATACTCTGCATTTCTTCAAAACCTGAGTGCTTTAAAGCTGACTTTTCTGCTTATTAACAAATAAGGAGTGGTTCTTCCTACTTGAACCTTCCACCACAAATCTCATTCTCTGAAGTAAGAGAGACACTTCTGTGTTTTGCTTTTTGAGAGACTTTAATGAATGAACAGTAATTAACTGTCACTTCAATGCGAAGTAGTAAATGAAGGATGTAGCTTTCTTTGGATTACTGCCAGGTTGGGGTGGTAGGAAGTGACAGATGAAGCCAGGCCATGATTCCTCATAGAGAGTAAGAAACGTGTGGAGTTTCCTTCTGAGCATGAGAAACTCAGAGTTCTTCCATGCTACAAGAAAGCTGTTCACTGTGTGACAGTCCTACTGACTTGGACATTGTGAAGACTGGTTTTAAGCAGGCTTGGTGATTATTCATTTTGAAGGAGCAGAACGGGATATGATCGCAACGGCACGGTTTTTCCTGATGACTTTGCTTCTATACAAGCAGGTTCCTGCTGTCCTGTAGGAGCAGGAGAACAGTTTGTGGAGTACATGTGCAGACAAAGCCGCTGTGATCCACAAGGCTGCTGGGTCCCAGAGCGCCAACCTGCCCTGCTATGCAGGCCTATCAAAGCACCTCAGCTCAAAGCTCAGTGTTGTGAGCAGCTTCTGATGTCGGACAAAGCACAGCCTGAATCACGGGATTGCAGGGGTTGGGAAGAACCTCAAAGTCATCGAGTCCAACCCCTGCCGAGGCACAATCGGTCTCACAGGCTGGCGTGCAGCTGGGCCTAGGATGCCTCCATAGGAGCCTTCACAGCCACTCTGGGCATCTCGTGCCTTAGCGCAAGTAACTTCTTCCTTATTTCTAGTCCCGACTTTTTCCTCTTTCGGCTTGAATCCTTCCCCCCGTCTGTCACCGCACGGCCCGCCGCAGCCCATCCGCCTCCTTACCGCCCCTTTAGCTGCGCACCGCCCGCTTTGCTGCCGAACTCTCCTCTGGGGGCGGCGCCGGCGCTGCGGCCGCTTCCGCCGCCGGGGGAAGGACGGGAGCGGCAAAGGCGGCGTCGCGGCGTGGCCCGAGGTGAGGCTGCGGGGCCGGGCCCGGAGCGCCCGGTGCTGCGGGAGTCCGGCCCGAGATGTCCGTGTTCGGCGCGCGGTGCTCCGTCGGAATAATGACCGCAGCGATCCGTTTGGGGCCTGCGGCAGCTCGGACGGACGGTCCGCCGCGGTAGGAGCGGAGCGCCGGGCTGAGAGCGGAGCCTGGGCGGGCCGCGAGCGGGTGGCGTCAGCTGCCGGGTACGGGGATCGTCGGCATCCGGCGACGGCCGGGGCCCAAGGAGGTCCGAATGCTGCACGGGGACGCGGCGACAGCCGGGCTGCCTGCAGGCCGGGCTCTGCGCTGCGTAACGCGGCGCTCGGCTGCAGCCCGCGTTTCCAGGGGCGGCGGCTCGCGGGGTTGGCGCGAACGTCCCGCGCCGGACGTCTGTGGTTTGTGTGTTTTGTGCCCCGGCTCCTGGCCGTGTGCCGCGAGGAGCTCCCTGACCTCGGCTTTCTGAACTGCCGTCGGGGTAGCAGGACCGGAGGAGTTGTGAGGACCGCCGTGTCCGCTGGTGCGTTTTCGGGGAGGCCCTTCTGATTCCTGCTGGGTGAGTTCCGTCACAGCTGTGGGGTGATGGTGACATTACCTGAGGGTACGGCCTACCTGTAAACTGTGATGGACATGGTGCTGGGCTGGTTTGTTTGGTGGTGGAAAGCCTGGGGGGGGGCTGTGCAGTAGTGCGGGGCCAACGGGAGTCAGTTCCAGCCCTCGGTGAGGGTTTGAGGCCCACCAGGGATCAAAACATGAGTGGGTTTGTGTCCCTGCTCGTGACACACCATAGCTGTGCAGGTAGGTGTCAGTGTCATGCGTCGCCAAGGCCCTGTTGGTTAAGGTCCGTGGCTACTGTTATGATGAGTGTCATTCGTGGCCCTCTTGGAACACATCCACAGCATGGCTGCAGAAATGTTCTGAGGGATGGAGCAGCTCCCTGCGAAGACAGGCTGAGAGCTGGGCTGTGCAGCTGGAGAAGAGAAGGCTGCAGGGAGACTGTATCTAAAGGGGCTGTGGGAAAGAAGGGGATGGTGCCTTTAGCGGGGTCTGCTGTGACAGAGCAAGGGGAAATGATTCCAAACTGAAAGAGAGATTTGGATTGGATGTAAGGAAGAAGTTTTTAAAATGAAGGTGTTCAGGCACTGGCATAGGTTGCCCAGAGAGGTGGTGGATGCCCCATCCCTGGAGACGTCCAGGGTCAGGCTGGAGGGGCTCCTTGCAGTGTTTCCTTTGAGTTTGCTGTCCTCTGTTTGTGAGGCAGAAGAACTTGTGCTCTTGGTTTTTCTTTCTGTCATGTCTTTGAACTCACTGCAGTTTAAAATAAAAAGGAAAGGAGCACTCTTTAATAGCGTTTGACCTGGCCTTCAGCAGGAGGCAGTGGGTTGAACTTGCTTGCCCTACACTTTTAAAAAATGGTATGGAAGGAGCAACCAGTATTTCTCTAATGGTAACGGTGTACACTGGGGACAGCCTAAGGCTCTGCTGTGTCCCAGCAAAGCACTGTGCTGTGGCTGTGAAGTGCTGTGTCCTGCCAGGACAGAAATAAGAATGCAGCACGAAGCTGGAGGTGAGAGCAGCATGTATCTCATGGCACTGTTGGTCTGGAGTTCAGCCCATTGGGGTTCTGCTCCCTATATACCCAATATGTGAAATAACTCAGAAATGGCCTGAACTTCAGTAAAGGAAATTCCACAAAGTTTTTCCTATTTCAACCGTCTTATTCTGAGCTATTTTTCTTCCAGCCTCTCAGCCATGATGATTCCACCATCTGCAACACCTCCTGTCAGCGATGCTGCACTTTTGCCAAGTGTGGCTTCTCAGGAAACGTGGAGGTCACAGGTTCCAGGCTATCCTGGGTCAGTCACACAGCACCTAAGTCACCGGGCTAATAACTTCAAGAGACATCCGAAAAGGAGAAAATTCATCCGCCCTTCACCACCGCCACCACCAAATACTCCGTGTCCTACTGACTTGATTGGCTTTGGGGATCTCCAGCCTCAGAGATCTTTCCTGGAACTCCTGTTTAATGGGTGTATTCTCTTTGGGCTTGAGTTTAGCTATGCCATGGAAACAGCCTATGTTACACCTGTGTTGCTTCAGATGGGGCTGCCAGACCAGCTGTACGGAATGGTGTGGTTCATCAGCCCCATACTAGGTAACTTTTGGGTATGCTGTTCCTTTCTTCTAGTTTTATTCTGCCCTGTGGGGGGTACATACAGTTTTCTCTGCCTCAGCTCTTCAGAAATATATTCCTTGTGATGTCATGTTTAAGATGTATTAGCCATAGCTTTAGACAATGGGATGGAAAATAGTTACTGCTGTGTCTTACCAGAAGTGGGCCTGGTATGATCAGAAGGTCTGTTTTTTATCAACTTCTCAGTGTGTCACATGCTGTGGAAGAGTAAGTAAGCTTTTGTTACTGAGTTCATGTACAAAAAAAAAAAAAAAAGGCAGAAAAGATCAGTGCGTACGTTTACATCCCTGTGGAAAGAAATAAAGAAATATACAGAGACACACTCACAGGATGTGTTTAAAGTGTAGTGATTTTGCCTTCTAGTTGAGTTTTCCAGAACAAATGAGGTATTCCAGTGATGAAAGGCTGTTAATCACTACTGTTACTGTCACTGGATTACTTAGCAGAGTTGGGGTGGTTGGAGTTATATCTGTTACAGGAAGAACCATAGGATGGCTGTGGCTGGTTGGAGATTTTTTTTTTTCTGCCTGTCCTTCTAGGATGTGCTTCAGAAGAAGAGAGTAGATAGGCCCCTACTCACAGACAGGTACCTTTTCAACTTACATGTTTATTCTTGCTGTCTTCCAAGCTAATTTAGTAAAAGATCTTCAGTGTAAGGGGTGTAAGGAAAATAGCTGGAAAATAGTGTAAGGAAAGGAGCTTAACATTGTTGTACTCTTTTCAGCTGGTGACAGAGAGTGAATTGCATTGTCATAGCAGTCCTGGATGAGCAGTGGTGCACTACATTATCCAGTCCCCAGTGTGAGAAATTCCAGGCACTAAACTCTGTACGTCAGAGTGACTGATGCTGATTGGAGATATCACTGTGCCATGTTGTCCTGCCTTTAACTGTCTTCACACATACCCATTTAAAGCCCCCTGTGAAACAGGCTTGTAGAAGAATTCGATGTAATGGTCATTTTCCTTTTTAGGGTTCCTGCTGCAGCCTTTTCTGGGGGCCTGGAGTGACAGATGCACATCAAGATTTGGCAGGAGAAGACCTTTCATTCTGGTCTTAGCAGTAGGTGCGTACTGTAGAAATGATTGTATGGTGGAAGATTAAGCATCTCTCTGCTATGATACGTAGCTGTGGGCCTCTCAAGTTGAGTATTGTGGGTCTGAAGAAGACGGTGAGTGTCACTGGGGTAACGATGTTTTGTCAGGAGATCCACTGTCTGGTCACAGTTGGAAGAGGTGATGTTTTGAAGGTCAGGAGTGTTCTCCTTTCACTGGCCACAATTCCAGGCACTTGTAAGGTTTATCAATGTGAAAAGATTTTGTATATCCCGTGAGCCACGCGCATTCCCAGGTCTGTGATGATATGAACAGCATCAACAGTGCTCACTGCAGGGCTGTGTGAGTAATATAATGCTTTTAGAGAACTTGGAATGATGCAGTTGCTCTTGTTTAGAAGTAGCTGGTTGATTCTAATTTAACTTGTTTTTATTCCCAGGTGCATTGCTCGGGCTCTCACTTATGCTGAATGGCAGAGATATTGGGAGTGCCTTGTCTGACACTGTGAATAACCACAAATGGGGGATCGTTCTTACAGTCTGTGGTGTTGTCCTCATGGACTTCAGTGCAGATTCAGCAGACAATCCCAGCCATGCCTATATGATGGATGTATGCAGCCCAGTGGATCAAGACAGGGGCCTCAACATCCATGCTTTGTTAGCAGGTATGGTTTCTTGATGCTTCCTGGATGACATGAGTCCAAAAAGCCCTGCTGTGAGAAAGATAAGTGTAAATTATTGGTCGTCTTCTGTATAAGCATAAGCTGAATACCTGTAGAGAAAGCAAGAATTAACTTTGAAAGAAAAAGACTTTTTGGCTTTTGACAAAAGTCAAACAAGACAGTCCTGTATTGTATCTTAAGATTCCTTGTGTCTTTTATAACCCTACAAAAATGACCCCTCAGGCAGGAGGTTCAGCTTATCACAAGTGTGGGAAATGGGGTTATTTTTGGTTGCTGTATTGGAGAGCAAAGTGTTTGTAGCATGCACTCTGCTCTCTTATTGCTGTAGTGTCCTAGTCTAGTTTTCCTGTCTGTCAGGAGACAGTTCTGTGTTCTTTAACATGTTCTTTAGAAAGAAGTCAGCGTGAATGCTTTCACCATATGAGGAGTGAGAGTGATAGCTGGTGCTGGTAAAATGAGTTGTCCTCAACGAAGGAAGAACTTGCATTTAAAGTTATTTATATCATTGCTTTTGTATTACTATCCTTCTCCCCCTTTCTGTACATTGTACAGAAAGACTGTTCATGTGGTGCAGATAAGTGTGTTTATTGCTGCATTTGAGTTGAAAAGGGATTAAGTGGTAAAACAGAGGTAGCATGTTGGATTTTCCTCATAAATTATTAAACAAGTGGTACTGTGCTATTACTGACTTCATGGATTGGCTAGGGAAGATAATCTCAGCTCTGTTTTTCCACCAGGTCTTGGAGGTGGCTTTGGTTATGTTATTGGAGGAATACATTGGGATAAAACCAGTTTTGGAAAAGCTGTGGGAGGGCAACTGCGTGTCATCTATGTCTTCACATCAATAATACTGACTATCACTACTGTGCTGACTCTAATTAGCATTCCAGAAAGACCCCTAGGGTCCTTTAGCAGGAAGAAAAAGGTGATGAAGAGTCCAAGTCTTCCTCTCCCTCCTTCTCCACCTCTCTTTGAAGAGGGTGTAAGTGAAAACTTTGCTTCTCGTAACTCAGCTCACTTGTATGCAAGTTTTACAAGCCCCGTTTCTCCCCTCAGCCCACTCACACCTAAGTATGGCAGTTTTGTCAGCAGAGACAATTCCTTGACAGGAATTAACGAATTTGCATCGTCATTTGGGACTTCAAATATTGACAGTGTGCTTATAGACTGTTTTACAGGTGGGCACAGTAGTTACTTAGCACTTCCATCTAGCTTGCCCAGGCAGCCTGTCAGTGTCAGCTTTCCTCGGGTGCCAGATGGTTGTTACCAACAAGAAAATGGAATTCTGGAGCAAGGGGAGAGGAGCATAACTGCGGGTCCAGATGGAGAGGCACTGAGGGTGGGCTCCTTGGATGCCATAAAGCCACGGTCGTCGGGCATCCTGAAAAGACCTCAGAGCTTGGCCATTCCAGATATCGTAACAGGACATTGTCCAGACAGTAGCAGAAGAAGAAATGTAACTTTCAGCCAACAGGTAAGGGCAGAAAACCAGTTATATGACCACGTAAACCCGAGCGTTCGTTTAATCTCTTTCTATGATTTTTAAATGTTTAGTGCATAAATTCGTTGCTAAAGACTGCTCGTGACAGTTTGCTTATAAAAGTCATTGGGGGAACAGAATACCTGCAAAGACTTCTTGGAAAAATAGTGGATAGGGTATGAATTACAATTCATTAGTGGTCTGTCATCTGCCTGCTCAAGAGAGCAGGTATGGAAGCGTTCCCCTCCTCTTCAGGCCATGTGTGAAAGTTAGGTTGGCATTTTTAGCTCTCCTTCACCATTTAGGAAGCTACCATGTGAGAGCAGAAAAGGACACATTTTTATTGAGCCTGTATCTTCCCTTTCCACAGAAATACCTGCAAGATAGGGCCAGGGATAGGAATCTCCCATGAGCTTCTCCTTATGGCAGTCAATGCATCTGGTTTCATCAGGGAGGTGAGGTTTTTTTTTACCCAGGGATAAGACTCTGACCTCACCTCCCACTGTTGGTGATTACTTGGAAAGTCTGAGACCTCTGTATGCTGACCCATTTTTTTTGATCCAGGATGAGGTAAACTGTCCTCCATTTAGTTTTTTTCTTTTTTTCTTTTCCTCTGGGGAGGGAGAGGGGAGAGGTTTTGTTTGGTTTGATTTCTTTTGCTTGTTTATTTTTGGTTTTGCTTGGTTGATTTGTTTGTTTGTTGCTGTATTTCTGAGTTTGTGAGAGCAGACTTCGTTAGGGTCAGGATTTTGTATGCGCTGTGCCTGTAGAATCAGCCGCTGAGGGCAGTGAGCAGTGACAGTGTGTCAGTTAAAACTGTCCACTCTTACTTCATCGTCTCTAAAACTTCAGGGACCAAATTCACCTAGCTGTGGATACAGCTTATATTAACAGAAATGAAATTGGTGCTTTTCCTATGCTGGCATCTCAACATGGTTTCCAAATACTCTGGAACAGTGCAGGGTACTGTTTCAAGTACTCTGAAAGCTGTAGCACAGTGCTGCCATTTAATACTTGTTCTAAGGCTGAATTTGCAGACATTCTTAGCTGGATACACTGTTCTTAATCCCCCGATGAGGAACTGAGCAGCAGTTTAACCTTCAGATCGTTAGATAGACGCACAACACTGTGTAGGTTTGCTCAAAGGTCATTTGGATTATTCTTAGTGTCCGTTGACCTGGAAGTTCTTATGTTGCAGGTTGCTAATATCCTGCTGGATGGTGTTAAGTATGAGAGTGAGTTGAATGGATCAGGTGAGACCTCCGAGCAACCACTCTCCATGAGACTTCTTTGCTCAACCATCTGCCACATGCCCAGGGCTCTTCGTAACCTCTGCATCAACCACTTCCTAGGTAATGAGAAAGTTCATTCTAGTTTTCACCATGAAGTAGTTTATGTTGTGTGATTCTCTTCAAGTATTTTATTGCTGCAGTGGCTGCAAACTGAAGAGAACGTAATTTGTTCCGTATGCATTCATCAGTAAGGTACTTCGTTGTTTATTGTCTTAAAATGTTGGGAAAAAAACGATGGGGAAAAAAAACCCCTAGAACTGTAAAACTGACATGCTTAGAAAAGGAATAACTTTGGTTTAGATTAGTGCATCTGTTAAATGGAGCGTTTATGCTAGAATGAGAAACAACACTGAACCAATAACTTTAAATTGCAACAACGTGGGTTTTTAATGCTCTGAATCTGAAGTTGCTGAGCAGAACTCTACAAGATTATTTGTGTTTCCCTGCTTACGTTTGAGATGAGCGTTCAGTTTTCTCCCTTTGACACCATGTGTATAGAGGCCACAGAACAGGCTGTGAGAGTGCATAGAATGCAGTGCTACAGGAGTGCCTGTAGCCAAATGCAGGATGACAACAGCATCTGGAACTAATATCTAATGAGCAACCATGTGAAACTTAGCCAGGCAGTTCAGACTGTGATTGATTCTTCTTTCTTGCTAAGCCAGTGGCCCATGGCCAGCATTAAGCCTATAGGATTCCATATGTGAATTCAAAGGATAAATCTTGATAGTTAAAATCATGAGCATCTTTGACAAACAGCATAATGCACAGGAAGCAGCAGTCTCAGATAAATGTGGCTAAACATTATGTAATACACTGCACGAACTGTTTCCACTTGTGATTTGTATTGTAGTACATGGCTTACAAGAGGAGAATGGTAATCTGCAGTCCTAATGGATTACTTCTGGCTTCTTTCAGGATGGCTCTCATTCGAGGGGATGTTGCTCTTCTACACTGACTTCATGGGAGAAGTAGTGTTTGAAGGGAATCCAAAAGCCCCTCACAACTCAGTTGAGTATCAGAAGTACAACGCTGGGGTCACCATGGGCTGCTGGGGAATGTGCATCTATGCATTCAGTGCTGCTTTCTATTCAGGTACTGCATACAGTCATCCTGGACACTGCTATCAGAAAGATACACCTGTTCCTTAGGCGGTATTTCTGCAGTAACAGCTCTGGCTTTTCTGTTGCACACAGTCTGCCATGTGGCGCGATAGCTGAAGCAGGGTTATCACCATGTTATCTGTGCTACTTAGTGTAGCCCACTCTGACAGCAGAGGAGGGCAGCAGTGCAGTGATAACACATTTCTGTTATAACATAGTTCCTTTCATGAGTGACATTTTGAGTGTATGTTGAATCCAGAAATATGTGCAGCCAGCATAGACACAGATTGTGTGCAATGGCATTCAGTGCTCGTGTGCCTCTGATGGAGCATCGTGGTGTCATGCACCACCAGCACCGCCTGTCTGCCTTTGTGCTTGCAAGGCAAGCTGCCGTTACACAAAGCTGTGATGGTTACTGCTGAACTGTGGCTGCCCCAAAGGGGGCCCAAGGGTGCAGTCCTGCCAACTGCAGGGACAGTCATGGTTCATTGCAAACTTCTGCTCTGCTGTCTTGCAGCTGCACTGGAGAAGCTGGAGGAGCGGTTCAGCACACGGACGCTGTACTTCATTGCATATTTGGCCTTTGGGCTGGGCACAGGGCTGGCCACGCTCTCCAGAAACATCTATGTAGTCCTGTCACTGTGCACAACCTATGGCATTCTCTTTGCCACGCTCTGCACGCTGCCCTACTCCCTACTCTGCGACTACTACCAGAGCTGTGAGGTGAGCCCCAGGCAGGATGGGGAATGGGGCTCCTGGTGACACCTCCTCACGCTGTGTTCCCTGAAGTTTGCAGGCTCGCACACGGAGGGCACACGGCGTGGGATGGGTGTTGACATCTCCCTGCTCAGCTGCCAGTACTTCTTGGCGCAGATCCTGGTGGCCCTGGCCATGGGGCCACTGACGACAGCTGTGGGCAGCGCCAGCGGCACCATGTACTTTGCCAGCCTGGTGTCCTTCCTGGGCTGCCTCTTCTCCTCTCTCTGTGTCATCTATGAGCCAACCCTGTCTGCTGAGGAGCTGCCACCCAACGAGGAGCGAAGCCCGCTCCTTCCCTATGTGCAGGACCAATAAATGGGAGAAGCTGCTGCATCCTTGGCTACCTCACTTGCACCATTCTTGTCCTCAATCGTCATGGTAAGGTGTGCCCTTAGGATGGCAACGACTGGAGGTGGGCTGTGGGTGACTGTGCTGGCAGTGGGCACGGGAAGCCACAGAAAAGGTGTGTGCCAGTTTCACTGAACTTTCCCCTGCCTGCAGGAGGGCAGTGCCTGGCACTGTGCATCTTTCACAAGTTGGTAAAGGCTGATCTATGTTTCCAGGACTTGTGGTCACAGCAGTGGGAACCATTGGTGGCAGTGTGGGACCTTCCCTCCAACTGCCATACAGTGCCATTTTTCCTCGGGGGAACAATGTTTCTTTGACCTGAGGTGGGGGACCCAGAAGACCAGTGCTCAGGCAGGTGGATCCCGATTCCTCGGGTGGCAGTGAGACGTGGGGCTCCGTTGCTGTGGGAGGACCAGGGCTGCGGTGTGCCACCAGCTTTGCGAGCAGAAGTTGCCTGGCCCTTGGTTATTGAGGGCTACAACTCCTACTCCCTACTCAGGGAGCACTGAGGGAACACGTGGGTCTCACCTACCGCGTGTTAGACCTGACCCTGACCTGGCTTTTCAGAACTTCGGAGCATAATGCAAGTACTCTGAAGGCCCATGGCTGGGCTTCCGTGTGCACCGAGCTCCAGCCAGCAGAACTGCTCCAAGGAGCTGCTGTGGGATGCGACTGGCTCCAAACCCTGCTCTGTAAGTTCTGACTGTGGTCCACAGTGATGGTTCCTGATCTGCGCGTAGTCCTACGTTAGGCTTTGACACTGTAATGGCTTATGTTGAGTTAGCAGGATGGGTAGGAGGGGGTTTTGTGAGCCAAGTTTCCTTGGGTAGAAGTTTATTCTCCCAATTAGGTTAAGAATATAAGAGAAATCATTTATGTGAAAGCCAGAAGCCACTGGCACATCATCCCTATGTTTCGTACAGTTGTACCTTCTGACATTTTAAAATTTGCTTAGGAAGTAGTGATTTGTCAGCTGGAGCTACACCTGCATACCTCTGTGAAACTGCTGAGACTTATTACTTGGACTGGAGGTGTTTTGCTACCTGTGGAAACTCTTAATTATTCTGGCTATGGAAGGTAGTAAATGCCTGAGTTCTTACACAATTTGTAGGTAATCTCTACAGTCTTTCAATTGAAGAACAAAAGTGAAAACATGTAAGCTAGAACCACTTACAGGATTCTTGTCAGTCTGCGTTCATATTCAAGTAGGATGCAAAAGTTCCCCATGGCAGAAGAGCATTCTAGTGCTCAGGAGTACTGTGCAGGCACCCCTTTAGAGGCTCTTTTTGTTCTTATCTAGTAGGGACAGAGGCAGCAGTTTTTCTGGAAATCCATTCCTTTTTCAGTGAGTTTTCTTGACTGTTCACCTAAGTTTATTTTTATGCGTGTTGTGCAAAATCAAGATGAAATAACTTGCATAATCTTTAGCTGTTGTGGTGCACTATAGTGCTTAAAACAATGTACAGTGTGTAAGAACTTTCCATTTTTACTATCAGCTCCCCGCTTTTTTTTGTGATCAGTTCTATGCTATTTGGTGTTTACTTCCCTGGAGGAACGCTTCTGAAGTTATGAAGCCAAGCATTCAGAGACAGAGGGTGTCAGACTGATGACTGTTCACCTTGACCCCATCTATTCTGGCTTGGAAAGCATGGCTCCCTGCCACACCTGCAGGAACACCTGTGTCATGCAGCTTTCATTATGGGACATCTTATCCCAGGAATGTTTGGGATGAAACTGGACCTGGTGTATGAGCAGCACATTTGGCACTTCTGAGTGCCTCATTTCCAACAATCTAAAGAGATGACTGTGGAAATTTTTTTGGTCTGCTGTGTAACCTTCAATTCTTTGTCTTAGCAAACTTATGAACTCAAAAATGTTTTGTTCCTATTGAAGGGGTGTTTAGTTCTCAAAATGTTTTCTCCTTCTAAGTTTTGTAGACAGTATTGCTGCACTGAGTGGATTGTGAACGCTTTCCTTTTCTACATAGCTGGGATTTCAGATGATTTTGTTGCAAACAAGGATGTTTAAAGAGAAAAACAGTAGAAGGAAAAAAAAAAAAAACCAATGTATTTATCAAGCTGTATGTCAATATGTATATATCATTGTATTTTCCAGCACTGGAACAGGCTCCTCAGAGCAGTGGTCACAGCCCAACTGAGGGAGTTCAACAAGCAGCTGGACAGTGCTCTCAGACAAAATGTTTGAATTTCAGGTGGTGCTGTGCAGAGCCAAGGGTTGGACTGAAGGATCCTTGTGGGTTTCTTCCAACCTGGGATATTCTGTTATATTTGATGGTCACGTTTGTTGCTCCTCCCTCTGTAAATAAGAGTAGGAAATACATCTACATACAGTTATAAAACTATTGCTATGCTGAAGTGCATTGCACAGCTGAATATATATAACATTTTCTATTTTAAACTCAACATCAGTGTGTCTTAATTTGGGTATGCATTAGTTGTTGGTGTCCATGATGCAGAATTCCTTGGAAGTTGCACTAAATCCATAAAAACAAAACAACAACAAAACCAGGAATTACTTATTTGCTTGTTCTCCTCCTTTGTCATACATGCTGTGTTTTACAGAGATTACTGTGTGGTCACTGCTGAACTGAGCTGCAATACGATGTTTACTTTTTGGAATGTACTCTTTAAATTGTCTAAATCTGTGGGCTGCTGGTAGAAGGAAGAGGGAAGAGTTGAGGAAAGAAAGCGATATCATGCTGTGCCATAGTTTAGACTTTATAAAGTTTAATGATAATGACTTAATAAAAATTAAAGGTTGCTTAATGGAAGTGATTTGTGGGTGCTCATATCTGTATTTATATGATATGTACAGAAGAAGGGAAAATGGGGAGAAGGAAGAAGTGCCTAATGAGTTGTCTCATGTTTGTGATGAAGCTAGATGTAACCATTTCAGTTTATCTGTAGTTCATTCAACTTCTGCCATGCCTCAAAAGAGAGACCCAAATAACTGAAACTTCTGCTGAATCTCTAAAAGAAGAAAAAGATATTTTCCAGGAGAAAAAAAAAAATAGGGGGACTGTAAGAAGAACCAACACTCGTTCAGCACCCAGAATGACACCAAAAGCCCAAACACGCAAAGCCTCTGTTGGGAACTGCTTGAAGAGTTTAAACGCTGTTTTCTGCTAACACGTAAGTAATCATCACGTACTAAATTGGAGATGCACTTAATTGGAAAGGGAAAAAGAAGAAATTGCCCTCAGGTCTGAGGTGGCTTTCTTAAATTATCTTCTCTTCCTCAGACTGGAAGATTGCCTTAGAGAGAGACTTCTGCAGAGCTGTTGCTATAACAACACAACATCATGGGTTGCACAGGTTATGATAAATATCTTGAGAACCGTATGATTCTGGAGCAGAAATGTCAGGGGAGACCTCGTGCACCCATTTATCTAAATTGAAAATGTCTGTACCTCTGGTTGCAAGACAATGCTTCAGTTAACCTGGCTTTTCAGCCTGGAAGGTTTTCATTGATGTTTGCTAAGAAAACAGCTGTGTCTCTTCCTCTGCCCCAAGCTGCTGCTTCTGCAGCAGAGACTTTAACAGACAGAAGCTGCTACTGCTCGTGGGCTTGCAGTGAGATTTCAGGGCACAAGACAACAACATAAGCTGCTGGACTTGCAGATACACACTATATAAGCAGTGGTAAAAGCGCCATTTACTTTTTTGTTCCTTTCAAAAATACACTGTGCAGAAATGGTAACTGTGGGATAATTTCTGTGCTTGCAGATTGCTGCTGGATGCCCAGCAGGGAGCTTTAGATTAGATCTGAAAGGCAGTATCATTATCCCAAACCCAAACAGTGCCAATAACTGACAGAAAATACGAAGGTGACATCTCTGTCAGTCTGCCTCTTTGATGTAACACACCTGTACTCCAGGGGCAGGAAGAAAGTATGCAGTGTTAGACTAGTTCATATGCAAAACTTCAGTACACTGAAGCAGCAGACTGAGAAGTCAGCTATGGAGATGATGCAGTATTTGCCATGTATATTAGCTGTATGTAACTGTATCTTTTTTTCCTAGGAATTCAATGGTCTCCAACAAAAGACAACAAATGGAGCAGCCAACAGGAAATCACAGCCTGAGAGTGAAAATTCATGTTTTTGTGTGAGTAATGTTTACCAACCTTACAAGAATGGGGAGTTTGACAGCATTTGTATCAAATACTCCTATCAATAACTATGCTGGAGGCTCATGTTTAAATGTATAACTTTCTTTTTGCTGTTATCAGTCTGTCATCACTTCCTGTGGATAGGGTCAGCAGTGTGCTAACGCAGTGAGGTGCACATCTGTCCTGCTAAAATCCCCTCCCTCTTAAGCTGTCTTCAGAGACAGAAACCTGTGATTCTAAGAGAACAAATGGGTTCAGAACTGCTCTGGGGAAACTAAAACAGAAATGCAGATGCAGTTCATTTGTTTGCCTGTGCTCACGGATCACCAAACTGCACTAGCGCTGCATCAGAGCCAAGGAATCAAACGTGAGAAGCGCTGCAAGCAAATGAAAGCTGTGATGTGCCGTTAGGGAAAACTCTGTGCCTCCTGGGGTGGTTCGGTGCTCCACGATAGCAGGGAAGGTCCTGTCATCGCTGCTGCGTGCCAAATTGGCTGTTAACTTTTCAGAGCCGACTCGGGAGAGAGCAGCACATGCACAGGAAGAAGGGCACAAATCACGCTTTAATGTCTTACGCACGGACGGCACTCGCTGCGCACGCGGGGCTGCGCGGCGCCTCTCAGACCGCAGCGCCGGGCTCCTGCGAGCCGCCCTCAGCAGGGGGCACAACGGGCTCCTGCGCTCGTCGCCGCCGCCGCCGGAGCCTCTCGGCGTTGGTTATCGTCATGGGGTGAAGCGGCAAAAACCCCGCCAGGCCTGCAACGAGAAGCGCTGAGCGACGCGAACCAACTCCGCGGCCCTTCCACCGCCCCGCACCTACCCAGGAGCTTCTCGGCGGGCCGCGACAGCTGCGCGCCGCAGCCCAGCCAGTGCCGCAGGCGCTCCAGGTTGAGCCCCGCCACCTTCTCGCCGTGGGCGTTGGGCAGCGGGTCGAGGCAGCCGAGCTGCTCCAGGTACTTCCCGTCCCGGGCGCGTTTGCTGTGCGCCGCTACGATGCGGTAGAAGGGCCGGTTGGTGCAGCCGCCGAGGGCGAAACGGATGACGACGTGTCCGCCTCGATAGCTCTTCAGAAGGCCGCTACCTGCGGGGAGAGCGCGAGGCGGTCACGGGCCGCCCCCATCCCGGCAGGCTGCGCCCGCGGTCACTCACCGAGCTGCACCATGGCGGCGGCCTTCCTGCGGTCGCGGGACGATTACGTACTTCCGGTGAGACGGGAAACCACCGACACGCCTCGCGTGGCACCGCCCTCATGCAGACGGGAGCGAGGCTGACTTCCGGGCGGAGCGCCGCCCCAGGGGGCCAAGCGGCGCGGCCTTCCGGGACGTTCCGCATGCGTCCCTTGTGCCGGGGGCGGTTTGCTCCGCACGGCAGCGAGGAGCGCAGCGTGGAGGGAAGCACTGATCGCCCGGAGTTAAAGGTACCCCCCAGGACAGCAACCGAGTGCTCTGCTGCTCCTCCGAGATTTATGGCCGTCAGTCTGCTGATCAGCTGAAGTGGCGTCTCTCTGCTCTCACCGCTGTGTGTCGCCACTGCGTTCCAAAATGCAGAGGAAAAAAACAGAAGTGAAGAAGTGGAAGCGCAGCGTGCAACGCATGGGTGCTATGCACGATGCAATAGCAGGGACACAGGCTGCAGCCCTTGATGAATGCAAACTGCAGCCATGGGGACACACAGGCTGCAACTGCTGAGCTCCGGGCATAATGCAGCCATGGGACCAGGCACAGCACAATAATGGGAGATACGGACAGTGCAGCACCCTGAACCACACTGCAAAAATGGCTCCGCTCCCAAAAAAGAGCTGTGTCTGCATGCAACTGGATGCACTCGGAACTGCAAATGAGATGTCTGGGTTCCTCAACAACAAGGCAGTGCACCAAGGAGGCAGAGGAATCAGTTACATATTGTTAATGAGTTACCAACTCTTAACTTGTTCTTTACAGTATTTATTGTACGCACAAGCATATGGAAAAAACACCAACATTCCTGCTGGAACCAGGTGTAATCAAGTGCAAGTGACTTCCAAGTAAAGCACGTTTGTGTGTTACATTTCCAGTCGGGGAACAGCTTTATGCAGTGGCTGCCTTCTCTTTGTAAGTTGCCATCATCTTCTTGATCTCAGCAATTGCTTTGCCAGGGTTCAAACCCTGCAGAGAGAAAGTTCCAGCTAGTTTCTTTAGAAATCAGCACGCTTGAGTATCCTCCCTGTTTTCCCACAACTGAATTTGTGTTCAACTCACAGATATACTGCTGTTCATAAGAACTGGCAGAGGACAGGCTCAGCAACCAGTTTTTAAAGCCGGAGCCCAGTCTAGTATTGCACTTCCATCAAATGCTGCCAGGGATCCTCAGGGCACTGCAGCAAGACCACTAAGTCACAAGATGAAGATGCTACAACCAAGCTTTTCAAAGCAACATTTTCCTACAATTCAAACATACGTTGCATCACAGAGGCCCTCAATCCTGCAGTACTGCTGGCAAGACAACCACGCTTAATCTTGAAACAAGAGTGGGGAGATCACAAATGTCCTTTTATAGCACTGTGATGGCAGCACGAGACAAAGCGTGAGCAGGAAATGACCCCAGAGCACAGCTCACTACGCAGTCTCTTTTTCAGAGCTGATTGAGATAAGAGACGTGATTTAAGCTGCTTTTAAGGGAAATGTATTATCAACCATAGACGCGTCTCAAAATCAACAGACCAAGCCCTCGTGAGTTATACCCCTACGCTGTGTACAGTCAGGTCTTCAAACAGAACCTTCACCTTTAGCTGAACTACAGCTGACATATAAGCATGATAATCTGCTCTGTAAAAAGGGGGGATTTATCCGTAGTCAGTGAATCATGTTAAACAAAACCAGCAGGCGGTGCTCCTGACAAACACCTGTCAGCCCAGATCTCAAGCACCTTATTTTCCCACATCCGTGATCCACTCAAAAGTTTGCCTTCTTATTACTTCACAGCTCAGAAAGAATTTTACTCTACCATCAGGTGCAAGCAATACAGCTGGCAGGAAAATGAAACTTAATTATCTACCCAGCAACAAGCACAAGGTTACAGCAAGAAGAGGAAGAGGCACGCTCTAATTTGAGAAAATTTTCTCAGTTCTCAGCAGAAATACCACAAACAGACCTGGGAAATGCCCTTCTGGCAGGATGTCAGCATAAAACACACTCCCCTCGGCACTGAAAACTTGGTGTCACCTTCTCTATTATGCAAGTTGCACAATACATCAGCTGCTACTGCTGGGGTGCGAGACCAGGTGTAAGCCAGCACTATGCTGGGGTTCTAGGTACTACTCACATCGCTGATCAGACTATGTCCCCCATCAGCTTTCTGGCAGCGTCCCTCACACAAACAGCATGTTACAGACACATACCTAAATCCTGGAAACAGTCAGGTTCTCAAAATCATGAGGAAGAGACATTTCTGTGATGTGTAATGTAGTGTGAACTCTGTCATATTCTCTTGCACAGTCACTGCTGCAAACACGACTGCTGATAACTCACCATTTCAGAAAGGAAAAACTCAACCAGAGCTTGAAGAAAACAAAACCTACCACTGGCATTTCCCTACCAGTTTGCAAACAACTGCAGAAGGGACACGTCAGGAACAACGCTTACCTTTGGGCAAGTCCTCGTGCAGTTCATGATGGTGTGACAACGGTAGAGAGAAAATGGGTCTTGAAGTTGTGCCAGGCGTTCCTCTGTGTAGTCATCTCTGGAGTCAATCATCCAGCGATAGGCCTGAAAGTCATTGACACACCAAATGATTTCCCAAGGTGAAGTAATCAGTGTTGTATCTTAAAACCAACACCTAACTCAGGAATTCTGGTCCACTAATCCATCAAAGAATCATTAAGGTTGGAAAAGACCCTTAAGATCATCTAGTCCAACCCCCACCCTGTGCCCACCGAACCACATCCCTCAGTACCACATCTATATGTTTCTTGAACTCCTCTAGGGATGCTGATGTCACACTGTGTCACAGGTATCTGCGCTGCCTTTAAATGAGGAGTCCCTCAGCAGTTCCCCGTGACACCCAGGATCTGTCCTTACCTGCATGAGAACAGCAGGACCCAAGTACTTGTCCCCGTTCCACCAGTAACTGGGACAGCTGGTGCTGCAGCAGGCACACAGGATGCACTCGTAGAGTCCATCCTGCACACAGATGAGAGACCACGGTCAAACAAAGAAGTGCAGAACTTGAAGAGACAAGTGCAGAAATTCTGGATTTTTATGCATTCTTTGCTTTTGGCCTGTCCCAATGAGGAAAAGGTAAGAATTTTTCAGATGCCTGTGTGCTTGGATACAAGAGAATGCAAGAGAAGCTTTGGTAAGGAGATAAAAAACATTACTAATCATGAGGAAGATTCACGTGGCTCTTGCAGCTACTTTTAGGTTTGTTTTTTTACTTAAATGAGAAAGTGACTTCAAAGATGCTGCTTTAAGAAATCATTGAGAGAATCCCTTTAAGTCCTTACATGTGCCATCAGATAACATTATGAAGTGGTGTAGGAGAATTAACTGTCGCCCTTGGAAAGAAATTCTTTCAAACTGTAAAATCCCGGGGTTGTTAGGACAGCACACAGCTAGTTGTATCGTGCTGCTGACATCCTCGGCACATGACACGTCTGCTCATCAGATGTTAGATGTCACAGCAAATGCACATAATGGGCAACTTTCAAAGATCGCTGCAATTAGGCTGCAGCTCATCTGTTTTCATTATATCCTCTTTAATCGGCCTTCCTCTGTGTTGCTCACGCTCATCCCTTTCACCACTTGCCAAAATCTAGGCTGCTTGCCCACTATGAGCCTACTCAGTGACAATACTGCAGCAACAATCACTGCACTGACAGGCCGAGCTTCAAACTGTCGAGCAAATGATCCATCAAGACAGGTCAGAGGCAAAAGAGAAACTGTCAATTTATCAACACTTACTGTAGGAGCCAGAAAAATCCAGACACTAACTTACCTGCTCTATAAAGTCTTCAAAAAGCCTCCCCCTCCCACCTCTACAGGCTCAGCTTTTGCCATTAGTTTCAGGGCTGTAAAACCCAGCGTGCAGCAACAGGACAGTGCTGCTTAGGAGTCAGATACGCAGACAGCGCTGCGTTAGACAAACTACTCCCCAGCATAAATAGCATTGCCAGATCTCTACGTGAATATTACAAGCCTCTGCCCTTCACAGTGTTTTTACAAAGACAGAGTTTTGCAGCACAGACAGTGGAAATGAGGTCAGTCCCCAGCACAACTGTGTTCTGCATGTCATTAGCAAATGTTACCCCTAGCAATGCAGACGTGCCGCAGCACTGCGTTTCAGGGAGCGCTTTCCACCCACATCAGGCTTTGTAACAGACAGTTTTGTCATTAAAGGAACTAGACGCTACTGCACATTAATGTTTAACCCTGGTCTTATCTGGAAGGGACTTTCATGGTAAAAATAATTTTAACAAAGGGTAACCAGTTTCTGACGGTCTTCTATGGATTGCAGGTACTGCTCCTTGCCCTGTTTCGACTCATCCTTCTTCTTCAGGTAAGGCTCGATAGATTTGTACTGTGCGTAGAAGTTACTCAAGTCCTAGGAGACAAAAGGCAAAAAGATCACACTTGATGTCTGAGAGACTGAACATCTGTTGTCATTCATAGAGAAGGAGGTATTTTGTACGTCAGCCTGCCGCATTCCTCCTAACGAGGCTAGATTTAGTCACCACTGGTAAGCAGACCCACCCAAGCCAGAGAGCATCAAGAGGAGCTCGGACGTGAATTGTGGGTCGTGATCTTGTTGCCATCTCCCAGCATTATCCCTTCTAATCCAACCTGAACCCCATGCTGTCTGGAATGGCGTCAGCATTGGTCACAAGATGAAGAAGGCAGATACTTACTGGAACAAGATCCTTCACCACATACATGTGGGGGAGAGGGTAGATTTTAGTGATCTTGCTGAGATCAGGGTCAATTTTTTTAGTACAAGCCAGAGTGTTTCCACCAGCAATGTTCATCGCACAGGAGCCACAGATGCCTGAGAAAGAGAACAGAGTAAAGCAGTCGATGTTCACTCTCTTATCCTACTTGAGGAAGATCCTCTTCACCCTGAACTTGCCCCTGGCTTGATTTCCCTTCTGATGTCATCAAGAACCTTGGTACGTGATGAGGAAAATGCTACAAGTTGTCATTGGGCCAAGCACACTGCTATTCAAACAAAGAAATGCTGGCGCTGTTTTCATGAAGCTCTAAATGTATCCTTGGCACTGAACTTCCTTCCACAGCAAAACCAGTGGCATTCAGACACTTCATCCCTTCGTGTCATGTGCTCCACGTGCTGCTTCTCAGATTTGTTGACAGGTTTGAAACACAAGCAGCGAACAGTGGGATTATAAAGTGGAGCCACATGGACCCCCACCAGCCCTACAGTTATGTTCAGAAGCATCCCTAAAGGTCAGGAATGTGAAAATAAGTTCCCAAGACAGAAGCTCCTTTCTGCGCCTTCTGCAGCAGCTGAAGTTGTGCCATCCCCTGCTTTCATCAGCTCCCTGTGGTGAGAGAACACGCACTCACAGAACAAATAGCATATAAATAGCTTAACAAATGGGTTAAGCGACACTGCTCGTGACCTCAGTAACACAAGGAACAGATGCAGCCCAGGAAAGGGCAAGGCTCACAAAAAAAACATTATAGAGCTGTCTCTGATACTGCTCAGGTCAGAAGCTCTGGCATTCAATCTTGGACTGATGCCTAAGGCATTATATTGGAAACATGACAAGTGCTGAAAGGGCGTCACTAATTTCAGAGGATTTGACACACATCAGTTGATAGGAGTCAGGGAAATGCCACTACTCCTCACACTGAGTGAGCCAGTCCTCAGTGCCTGGTGTGCCGGCAACCCTTCCCACAAGGGCTGGCACTTGGACAAAGTTATTTCTCCCACTCACTGAGTGGTTACAAGTATTTTCCAGTTAACTCGAGAAGGGGCCAGGGCAATTAGAGACCACGTGTAAGAAACCGGAACACATGATCAGATTTTTTTTCCCCTGTATGGTAGAAAAGGACAACATCAAACCAACCAAGCTTAGGAATCTGTCTTTAGATTCTCAAAGAAAACTATTCAGTGCAATTACTTCCAGCTGCTCAGGAACAGTGTTTGCTATCTAAATATCAGACACAGAGAACAATCACACTGGATAAAATTCCTCCACTGCTATGCAGATTCTGCCAGAAATGTCTGTGTTGAAGCATGCTTTTCATTTAGATCTGAGTCAGGACATCTTTAGGCATCAGGCAATTGCACCTAAATTTCTAGCGCTTGCAAACCCAACCAATTAAACCAAAAGTTGTTCCATGAAGACATTCTCCTCCACAATAATCTTAATCTCAGCATACCAACAGCACTCATGAATTAAGTCTTTCTTTCCAGGGAAAAGTGTCACTGGGACTGGAAAGTTTGAATGCAGTCAGACAAAGATGCTGATGATTACCTGGCTGAGAACCAGCAGGTAACTCTGCAGCATGAAACCAGGGGATGGCCTTCTCCTCACTCTACTTAGTCGAAGGGCTACAGTTCACTGCCATTCAACACGTCTTTTCCCTCAATTCTGCTGCTGTAATGTCTCCTCCCTAAATTCCCCTACAGAGTCCATCACTGGAGGGCAGCAAGATGAACACAATTAGGATGGAAACAGGAATGACTGGGGCTGTTTATGTGTCTCGCTTGTAACTCGGTGTGGGGTGATTATATGCTGCAACTTCACTGATTGATTCACTAAGGTATTTCGTGTTCAATACCTAGAAAAGAAAAGAAGAGTGGCATGCTGTGGTCTGCCCTGAAGTTTTCTATTGGTTACACACATGCAGCATTAGCGTTAGCATTTTATTTGGACAACAGTCAGCTTAGCAGATTGAAAAATCTTTCTTACCTTCCCTGCATGACCTGCGGAAGGTCAGAGTGGAGTCCAACTCATTTTTAATCTTTATCAGAGCATCAAGTACCATAGGGCCACATCTATAGCAGAAAACAAAGTCAGTGAACCTATATAATTTCCCCTGGCTTTATCTCCAGCACCAACCTAAGAAGCAACTAAAAGGACTTTCATCTCAGCTACAATTAAAACTGTACTTTATTTTGCAACAAGATAGAAATCACTTGCTCAGTGGCACAACTCACAGGCCTCATCTCTCCCCAGGGTCAAAGCAGGACAGGAGCCATTTCTTTTACTGAGGCCCAGATTTGGCTCTGCTGGAGACAGTTCAGACAGCGCAACTGAAAACAATCCTGAAAGCTCGTACCTCTTAAGTCAAGTTTTGACAAGTCTGCCTATCCTCATTAGTCACAGGAGGCAGTGCTGCTTGCAAAAGCAAAGTCTTGGACAACTTATGTAATTTTATATATGGCAGACAAGACAACACCTAGAAATTATTAACTGGGGCAAATCAAAACAGCAAAGTCTGATTTCTGTCACGTGCTTCCCAAGCAGAGCTGCGTGGCTTTGTAGCTGAAGCTTTCAGGAAGGGCTTGAGGTGAATTCTTCTGGCAAGACCATAGTAACAGGAGCTCAAGGAAGCAGAGGCACATGTGCCCATGCAAAGGTTTCTACACCACAGGGAAGACTGTATCCTTCCACAGGATCACTGAGAAATGAGAGCTTTCTTGGTGATAACTGCAGTAGGGCGTACAAGCAGCTACTAGAAGTTTAATTACTTCTAGTTTGCTGGTTGTGTTACATGTTAAGAGATTGTAAGAGACAGTAAAACCTTCACCTTATCTTCAAGGTCTGGGACTGTGAGCTATGAGTAAAATTGCTTCCTTTTGGAATATGCCCCAAAATTCACCATATAAATATAGCTGTTACCATTTCATTGCTGACAACTACTGAGACAGTCGCATTCACAATACAATTTTATTTGTCATGCTTGACACCAACAGGTGAGGGAAGGGAAGCAATCCCACGTGGTCTCAGTAAGATTTGCTTTATCAGGAAGTAACACCCCCCTATTGTCCTGCTGCATAACACACCTGAGGCACTGCCTCTCTGGCTACTGTAACATGGTTTTAACAATGCCTGAAGCTGAACGAGACTGCTGACACCCTCAGTTGTTGACTCGAACACCACTCGGCTACCCTGAATTACTGCCTGTCAGATAACCTGTGTGCACATGCAGCCCCGACACATCTGCATGCTAGGGAAGCCAAGCAGTGCTCCGTAATCGGGTACACTCACTTATTCAAATCCACTTCATACGTCTGCATACGGGGCTTGTCCCCAGGCTTATCAGGATCCCATCTGTAGATGGAAAACTTCTTGATACGTGATGTAGCTGCAGCCGCTGTGTGAGCTCCTCGACAGATCTGCATTTGAACAGCAGCAAAACAGCCCTCAGGTCCCTCCTAAGCCAGCAACAAAATGACTTGAGGCAGTGAGTTTTGGGGCCAGAGCTACAGGATCCATTGGTGGCTTGGCATTTGGGCACATGTACAGAGAATCCTTCCAAGGATTTGACACACCAGTGCACCTTGGCACCCACAGCCACCTCTGTGCTGGGGCTCCCTCCTCTTCCTTGAAACAGAGGAGATGACACCAAAACTAAGGAGGCAGCTCCTGGTGCTCCTGTGGGCCCCGCAGCCCTGAATGCTTTGCCACAGCCCCACAGATTCTCTCAGAAGCTCCCTGCCGCGTCCCCACCCTGCTCTGGACAAGGGTCCCCAGACCCCACCTACATTTCTCCTGTGCCCACATCCTTCTCCAATCCCCTTCTGGATCCCCGATCTCACTCAGCTCCCTTCTTCCTCCCCCTAAACCGTCCCCAGGCCCCTTCCCCACTCCTCTTCACCCCTAGACCCCCTCCAGTGCCCTTCACACAGCCGACGTCCCCCAGACCCCCCTTCTCCTAACTCCTCTGAAACTTCTTCCCTTCCTACACTGCATCCCGTCGTCGTCCCCCCCGCCCCCCAACCCCTCCCAGGCCCCTCTGGCTCCCCCTGCCCCCACCTCCCCCACACCCTCCTGCAGCCCCCCGACATCCTCCCAGTATCCCTCCCCTCGCTCCTCCGGCCGTCTATCCCTTGCCCCCCACACCCCGGACCGCCTCCAGTCCCCTCACCGGCCGCAGCGCAGCACCCAGGAGCCGCGCAGGGACGGCGCGCCTCAAGGAGACTCCCACCGCGGCCGCCGCCATTTTGGCGCTGCGCAGTTCCGCTCCGCCCCAGAAGTGCTCTCTGAGGGCGGCGCGCTGCCGCTGGTCGCCATTTTGGGTGTGTAGGGGTGCCATGTTGAGTGTGACACAGGGAGGATGTGGCCGACCGGCACGCCTGGATCCCCTCATTTTCGGGAGCTGGCAGACCGCTGCGTCCCTCCTTATACTCAGAGGTGATCCCTATCCTCATCCTTTTTTACAGAGGAGGTGTCAAGGCCTCAATGCTCAGCTGGCAAAATGGCAGTGCTAAGGCCCAAAATGGCACCCTCATTTCAGCACCGCCCCAAGCACTCCTCTCACCGTTCTCGCCGTTATAAAACACTCCCCACCTCATTTCTCACAGCAAATTTATTATTTCACCGCATTTAAAACAACACATGCTGACAAAGCGGGCCACGAAGGCAGCCTGCCTAGGGCGTGACGTGCCACCAGCGGAAGGCAAAGGGGCGGCGGTGGACATTGGTGCCGCAGTGCACCTCTCCGAGCCGCCCGTGGTAGGAGGAAATGTCTTCCAGGAAGCGGCACCTCAGGCCCAGTGGCTCCAGGAGGCTGCGCACGTGGTGTTCCAAGCAGCACTCGCCTCCCACCAGCGGGCCGAAGGGCTTGGGGATGCCCAGCTCCTCGGACAGGATGAGCATGGGGACCTGTGGGGTGACAAAGGGCTTTAAGGACACCCAGCAGCCTCCCTGGTCGATCACAGAATCGATAATTCAAAGGATTGTTATAGTAGCTGGTGACCCTCCTCCACTGGGGTCATCCCAAATTGGGTCATCGTCATTATTCCCTCCCCCAGGAAATCCTGTGCTATGTCCTCCCTTTTTATATTTAAACCTTGACATTTCACCACTTCAAAATGCTTTCACCTTAAAGCTTTTTAGGTTAACCCAACCATGAGCAATATGCACCAAAAGGCTACAGAGTTCCGACCACCCTTGGCCGATGACAAACCTTGGCCAACCTGTCAAGCTCAGATGAGGATATTTTCCCTTTCTGGACAGGAAAATACTATGCTTTTTTGGGCATCCTTGGGGAGCAATGGCTCATGGGCAGAGGTTTGGCTATTTTTCCTCTCCATAACCCAGAACCCACAGGCACTGGCTGAAGGGGACATGAGCAGCAGGGACACCTCTCACCATGTTGGGAAAGTATGGCATGGCCTTGCCCTTGTCGAGCTTGAAGAGGGCTGGTAGGTCAATGATGTCCTCCTCTGTCAAGCCCAGTTCTTTCTTGAGGATGTCCCTGTTCCAATCAATGCAGCGCTGGAGGGAGGGGAGAAGAAGGGACCAGGGGGACAAGCAGGCAAGCAAGGTTCCTGAAAATGGTCTTCTGGACATTGTCTCACTCAGGAGAGTGGCTTTTGCCTAAACGCAACTTCTCCCTTGAGAGTTGTGCCACCCTTGGACGATTATCACAAGAAATGTTGGTTTTCAGAAATACGGGCTGTTACCTGGACATACTGATTCTGCTGCATCATGATGCCATTGGAAAGGACCTTGTTAATGGTCACCCGTTTTGTGTCTGTCCCTGAATACCCTACAAATACAAACACTGACAGGTGAAATGAAATGATCTGCAGAAACCTGGCTTAAGATGTAGCACAGAAGTGGGGAAAAAAAACACAGACCCCAGTTCCCTGAGGTTAAGGCTTTGGGATGAGACTGCTGGGAGTCCCTTTTCTCAACTTATTGGGAAACGAGGCGGGAGGGAAATCTTTGTCCACTTTGTAATATTTTCATCAGGCCTGGAAAGCATTAGAAAGGTCTCAGGCCAGGTTTGATGGGGCTTTGAGCAACCTGGTCTGGAGGGTACCTATAGCAGGGGGGTTGGGGAACTACATGATCTTAAAGGCCCCTTCCAGCCCAGACAATTCTATGATTATCCATTTTCCTGCACAAGGAATATAAATGTATTGCTAATAGAATAACAGTTTTTGTGCTGCCCAAGCTCCATAAAACTATAGGTATCCCCTCCACAGAAGCCAAATCCCAGACAATGGCAGAGTCCCAGGGGCCCCCATGGTGACAGAGACGTCCTTCTCTGACCTCAAGGCATACAGATGAATTTAGCCTCAAGCAAAACTTTGATCAGAAGCTGCCCAAACTGGCTGCCAGTCCAGAGTGACTGGAATGTATCTGGGGTGACACGAGACCCCCATTGTGCTACTGTGCTGGAGCTGGCATTTACAGAGATCTTCTGTCCCACTCCACCAGCATCCTCTCAATGCACAGAGCTTTATCCCATCCCACTCGCTTTCCCAAAATAGGGCTTGAGGGTGGGCAGGCATCCTGCTGCAAGGACAGGCATGCCAGCCCCTCTTGCCAGCCTTGAAGGGCAATGGAATGGGAAAATGTCCCCATCCTCACGTCCTCAACACCTGCATGTTGCTCCAGGCGCGTTGAGGGCTGCCGCCCTTGGATGTCCTGCCCTGCATCAAAGCTCAACTTTTATTTTAAGGACAGGGAACAGCAGGCTTCCACCCACCCTGGCTGGGATTTGCACAATTCCCCCCAGGCTGCCCGCTGCCCGCTTGCCTTTGAACATGGTAGCTTCTCCTTGGCCCTCCTTCTGCTTTTGCCGAAAGAGCTTGTAGCATGCTGCAGGGCTAGCCATCAGCATTCGAAATCGCTAGGGCAAGCAGGAGGAAAAATGGTCACCAAAAGGAGCTTATCCCAAAGCACCATGTTAGTACTTCTTCCTGTGAAAACTGCCCCTGCAGGCTCATTTTTGGCTTTTTGCAAGAAGGTTAAGGTTAAGTTCTTAAACTTAAAGACTTTTGCTATTAGTTAAGAATGTATGTTCTTGTGGCCTGAGCCCTCCTTCTGGGGACGTGGGAGAGAAGCCAGGGAAACACCAGCTTGGACTCTCAAGGAAATGAGCTTTGGTAGTTTCCCTGATGGAATTAGTTACCCAGAAGGAAAACCATAGAACAGCACAGGGTCTCGGGATACCTTTGCATCAGGGCTGGGCACAAAAGTGACAAACTCGTTGACATGGCCCATGGCCAACCAGTCAGAGAAGAGCTCCACAGGAGCCTGCACCTGCTGAGCGAAGAGGAAATCCCGTACCACTCTGGTCATCCTCCTTCCTGCAGGGCTAGAGGCAAAGTCATAGAGTCATTATGGTTGGAAAGGACCACTAAGATCATGAAGTCCAAACATCAACCCATCGCCACCGTGCCCAGTTATCTACATCTCTCAATGCCAATAACCCCTGAGAGGGGGAATAAGGGTGTATGGGAACAGTTGAATCACAGCCTGAACCTCTGATTGATCACCTGAGGTGAGCACAGAGTCAGCCGCAGGAGCACAGGTGAAGGCGATTCAGCTGTGTGATCTGAAGAGGTGGAGCCTGGCTGCACCTCTCCTAGACCCCATTTAGGGGCTGACTGCCACGAGGGAAGGGTGTCTTACTGGAGATTGTTCCTTGTGGAGTTTCTTATGAGTCTACAACACTGGTGAGCACCTTTCATTTATCTCTGATTATCTTTTCTTATCTTTTCCAGTGTGATAATCTTACTAGCCTAACTGCTTTGTATACTTATTGATCATAACACTTTATGGTATCTGTGTACTTACTGGTCTTACAAAGGGGAATGAGTATTTATTCATCACTATGCACATGCATACAAATTTCTCCCAAGATGGAGGAAATGAAGGCCATGGGGTTCCGGACACCGTAAGGGGGAAGGTTGCGGTTGGTTATTTAATGGCCAATCAAGTGGCTTAATGTGGTTTTTGATGGTATTTAGGGGTACTTGTAGTTCCTTTGCCCCCAAACACAGTTTTCCCATGTCTTACGTGGGGAAGCTGCTGCCAATGAGGATCCTTCCCAGCGGGTACTCTTTTCCTGCTGCAGTGACAGGTGGGCTGACCTCCAAGTTGCCAAAGGAGTCAAGGCTGGAGGTGGCTTTGAAGAGAGGCTCTCTGCGTACATAGCCGAAATCAGGTCCCTGCGGGAAGAGAAATAGCTGTGGGCATTGCCTTGGGTCAGTCTGCGTCCTTATTCCTCCTGCTGGGCTCAGCTGTGCTCCCTCAGGTGAAAATACTGAGGAGAGGGAGATGCAGCCTTAAAGGAAAAGCAAGTGTGAGAGTGTTTGGGGCATCTGGGCTCAGTAGTGAATGGTGAATGCTAGAAGCGTGGGTCTCTGCTATCTCGCAACTGCTGTTTAAGTTAAGTCCATGTTAAGTTAATTAGATGCTGGAGCAGCCATAAAGTGGAGTTTCTGGATGGCTGGTGCGGAGTGGGATGAGCTCCAGCCCCTGAAGGTAAATCCTCTTCAGGCATAAGAGCCACCCGAAGGGCTTGGCTTTACTTAAATCTCATCTAAGCCTGATTTTCAGAACTGAATATATCAGGGATTTGAGGTGTTGGGTGATTAACCTGTGGTGCTACTGCTGGGTTGTGCCAGGGGCTAATGGCCAAGGGAGAGACTGTAGTCCTACAAACAGGGTGCAAGTGGCACTGGGGGCATAAATCTTGTCCTTGCTCTCTGTTTCAAGCCAGTGTGGGTTAGGACAGGATCAGATAGCTGTTGTTTTCCATTAAATCTCTGAGTGTTGGGTTTCCTTAGCAGTAAACCATCGGAGTGTTTCAGTTAACACAGATTTCTCCTAATTTGCTGGAATGGACCCAGGGGTGTTTGCAGTAAATGGATATGCACGCAGTGTACTACTCTGTCCTGAATAGGCATCCTGCCAAATCCAGCTTCAATTGGATGCAGCCACCTCAGTGTCACCCCAAGGTGACACAAATGAAGCAGGGATGTGCTTATGGGGGAGAGGGTGAAATGTAAGGTTTGGGGGGGAAAAAGAGCCAAGACTCCCAAAGGTATGTAATTATGGTCTAAGAGTTGTTTGGTTTTTTTTATTTTTTTTTTTTTTTTTTTCTTTTAAACAAGAAAAAAAAAAGGGATGTTTGATGAAGCTGGGAGATATAAGAGGCACTGAGCATGCAACACCTGCTCCCACCCATTTCAATTAAATGAACCAGAGAGCCAGGAGGGTTCAGCTGTCTAGGTGCTGGTTCATCCTAGGTTTGTGGGCAGCATCTGAGCCTATCAGTTCCAGAAGGATTCTGACAGGCTAATTCCCTCCGGTCTCCTTTTTCCTTGGTGGGGAGTTGCGGGGCTTAGGCTGTGGCTGTGTGAGAGGAGGAATCTCACAGAATCACCCGGGTTGGAAGGGACCTCAAGGATCGTGTAGTTCCAACCCCCCTGCATAGCAGGGCCACCAAACATACACATTTAGATCAGGTTGCCCAGGACCCTGTCCAACCTAGCCTTGAACACGTCCAAGGACGGGGCATCCACAACCTCCCTGGGCAGCCCGTTCCAGGCCCTAACCACTCTCCTTGTAAAGAACTTCCCCCTAACATCCAACCTAAATCTTCCCTGTGTTTGGCTATACAGTCCTGTCTGAGACTGGGAAGATAACAGTGGGATTAGGGGGGGCTCCAAAGCAGAAATTGGAGTGTAACATGTTGGCAGCTTCAGGGGCTGAAATTGCTTCTCTAAATATGAAGCAAGACAATTTCTAAAGAGGGTGGAGAGGAGCAGAACATAGCTTGTGGTACAATTCTGCAGGTTAGGTTGGTTTTGGGGCTTGATCTCAAAGGTCATTTCCAACCTAAATGATTGCTCTCATATTGGGAATGAAGAAATACACTCTTGGCTGGAGTCCTCTGCTCCATGCAGGGAAGAAATGGTGCTATACTCTCATTTTTTGTGTAATCCGTTACAATGTATGTGGGTTACCAGCAGCTCCTTTATGGGGAATTGCTCCAGCCCTGTGTCCTGGGGGGAGTCCAGCACCACTGCAAAGCTTTTGTGTGGGGCCTGGGTGTAGCCAAACTCGATCTCATCCTAAAACAAGAATGAAAACCCCCATGGGGCACATCGGGGAAGGAAGGCTTTGCCCCCTCCCTTCTGCTCACCTACCTGCATCCAGCGGTCCCCACGGTTGATATAGCCAAAGCAAACCTTCAGGTCACAGCCAGCCTTATTGACAAGGTTTTTGATCTCCTTGATGTAGAGGTAGTTGTCCTTCACACTGGAGATGGGCAGAATGGGGATGAGGACTGCTGGGTGGGGCCGATGCCCATTTAGCCATCGAGGCCTCATCACTTGGCCCATACCTGCAGACAAAGACGTTCTCCGGTGCCAGTGTGTTGGGCATCATGATCCATGGTGCTACCCTGAACACCACTGTGTCAGTGAAAATTGGCGACAGGGGGATTCCCTGGAGGATGCAAGCAGAAATCAGGGACCTTCCCCTCCTGATTTACCACTTCCCCCCCAAATACCCCGAGCTCATTTTAAGATAAGATAATTATTCCTTCCTCATCCCCACGGCCCTTGGGTTGTTTCATCCTTCCCCTGCCCATCTTCCCTGGAGGCCCCGACCTCAGCCAAGGTCTCCAAGAGGCTGACGTGGATGGAGATCAGCCCTGGGAAAGTCTCATCAGGAAACTGCAGCCCTTCAACAAAGAACTCAAGCTCGGCAGCTCCACCGGTGTACTGCACAACGTGGCACAGCTTCCTCCTGCCCAGCACGTGGACATAGTGCTGCCCAAAGAATGGGTCTGTAAGGACCAAAAGGGAAACGTCAGCAAAAGCAGGCCGCTTCCAGAATTCCTGGTGGAATTTGGGATTTCCATCATTCCTTTATGCCAGAAGTTAAACTCTGTGGGAGGAAGAAAACACCTTGAAAGAGTATCTCAGCACTTGGGATTTTGCAATTGTGAACAAGGTGTCTGAAAGCCTGTCCTTGAATGGAGCCAGCACTGTGAAGAGATTCTCATGGGGCTTCTGCCCTGACAGACCCCTGCCTGCCTCCAAACCCTGTGCTGATGGATTTAATGAATTTAATGGCACGTCTGTGTGGGCTGGATCAGTCCGGGGAACAAAACACCATGTCCACAGCAGGGAACAAGGAGGGATAATGTCTTAGAGCACTTTGCTTGCTCTGGATGTCAGGACACGTATGGTTGGGGGTGGTGGGTTTTTTTTTTTTTTTTTTGGGTTTTTTTTTTTTTTGTTTTTTTTTTTTGCTTTTGTTTTGTTGGGTGACCTTGGATAAATGGTTTTACTACCCTATGCCTCTTGAGAAGGTTCAAGGCTAGAAAGATCAAGGGAAGGGATGATGAGAGCACAAGGAAGTGCAGACTGGGGAGTACAGACTGAACAAAATCAGTGACAGGAAGACAAGAGCTTGTGGAGATGAAACGTTCCCAAACCAGAAGACTTACTCTGCATATGGAAGACCCCGACTTTGTCAGCATCAGACATGTGAACGTAGAGCACAATTTCATACCCCCGGGGCAGATGCTGTGGCCCTTCGATCCGCAGCACCATCCGAGACATATCCAGCAAATCTGAGTGCGTACAAGAATAAACTTGGGTGCAGCTCTTCTGCTCAGTGCCCAGCAATGCGCGCTTTCCCTGTTACCAACCTTGGCATGCATGCTGGAATATCATCCTGAAGCCCTGCTACCAAGACCTGTGGTTTGTGCTTGGCGCAAATATCTTTATTTTTTTTCTCCCTGGCACAGCCAGTCCCTGGCCTCAGAAGACTGATGGGCACTGGCTTGGCATGGTATGGTTTTCCAGGAACAGGCATGTATTCCTGGCTGCCTGGCCCCAAGCATCCCTTGACTGAGCCCTGCTGTTTTTTTGGCCACGCTCCGTACCCTGGTATGACCTCTGGGCGGTAATTAAAACAAAGTATGAGGACAGGAGCATGATCCCACATGGGAGGCTTACTCAGCAGCTTGGCTGAGTCAGGGCAGAGAGCAGCCAATTCCCCAGCAAGCCTTTGCGCCTCAAAAAATTAAAGAGGGGGGAATAGCTGCGATTTTGCTTTATTTTTGAAGTGGAGCTGGGACTGGGGCTGTGTTACCTTCTTTGCTGAATACCCTTTCGTCATCACAGTCTGGGGCAGGGCTCAAGGGGCTGTCCCTGTCGCAGGTGACCAGCAGGATGGCCCCATGTCCCTCAGGTCCCCACATCCAGCTGGCCTGTAATACCATGCCAGGGCTCAGTGTGATGGGGATGCTGTGTCCATTGACAAGGCTCCTGCAAGCCACAGGACTTCCCATACAGCTGGATTACCTTGTTGGGGTTGTTTTTTTCCACCACGCCATCTCGATCTGCATCGACGTCCAGGGAGATCCCTGAATCCAAGGTACAGCACATGGTGTACTTGTAAAGGAACCCCTCCACTTAGCGAACCCACTCGTAGCTGGAGTCTCCATACTCACCGATGCCAGTGAGGAAGATCCTGGCTTGGTCAACGGGCTGTCCTCCCTCTGCATAGAAGATGACAATTACCTGGAAAACCCCAATCCCCTCACTTGTAAAGGATGCTCTCCACCTTCAGCTAGGAAAGGAGTCCAGCATGCAGCACACCAATTCTTACCTTATTGTCATTGACTTCAGTGCTGGCCCGGCTTATGCTGAACCTCAGCACCGTCCCCTCATTCAGTGGCCAATGTGACACACCAGGCAGTAGTCCTGGCTCGGCTCGGCCCTGAAAAGCCACTTCCACATTCACCCCCTCTGTGTGCTTCACCCCAAAGGCGACTGCCCCGACTGGGGCTGCCCTGCAAGCAAGGCATCCTGTTTTCAAAGGTCTGAGCACCCTATTTTCATAGGTCTGCACATCTGGCACCCAAAATCACCCAATTGTAATTAATCTCATCACCCAAACTGCATGACTCTGTGCTCATCACCACCTCCTTTCTACCTTTCTTTGTTGTCTGGGAATGTTTTAAGTGTGGTGGTTTTTGTTTTTTTTGGGGGGGGGGGGCAGAATGTGCTATTTTAGCAGAATGACTATTGTAGCCTTTGGTGCAGATTGCCATTTTCTGTAATTACACCCAAAGCGTTTTGTGCTGTTCTAACCCAATAACCCGGCTTGGTGTGTACTTTAAATGTGTGTTTATTTGCTAACTGGAGTTTCCCAGATCAGAGCAGCAAGTTAGAAAATTTTACCATGGGAAACTCTTAATTTTGGGGGTGATTTTATTACAGCCAGCGCACCACTTCCAGTCCAAAGAGCTTTTCCCTTGCAGCCCCCTCACTTCTTCCATCCCTAATTTCTCATTTATCTGGAGTTATTCTTTTTGGTCTCCTGCAATCCAGGCTCCCTTTGAGCCCTGACATCCGAGCACTGGCACAGGATCACTGTTACAGCATCACTTATTGGGATTCTGAGTGTGGAAACCTGAGAGCCTGCTTGATGCTGCCTGGACGTTTCTTAAATTGCTCCTTTCTGTTTAATTATCCATACAAAACTCACTGAGTTTGTGAGCCTGGGGAATCCCACCAGGAGGAGGTTGGACCCAGCGGGAAGCCAGATGTGCTGTTTGGCTCGAGATTTGCAAAAGCTGCTGGGTGAGCACAGGGATCAAAGCATGTCTCCTTTGTTTTTCTTGCAATTACCTTGCAGGGCAGCGTTGGAATTTTTCCAGTAGGGGAATGGGGGTTACACTGCAAGATACAGATTGTCCCCAGTTGTTGCTTTCTTCCCCTCTCTTTTGCCATTCGTCCCCATGGATACTGCTCAAAATGCCCCGTCCTGGTTTATCCCAGTGCTCTCCAGCAATTTTCTGAGATATGAACCAAACCCACTGCCTTTGCAAACACATGCACATGCTGATGCTTGAAGGGTTTGGGGATTTGTGCAGCTTTGCAAAGCCCATTGAGGATTTGTGCTGATGGATTGCATCAAATCACCAAACTGTGGCTTTGGAGGGAATTTGCAGAGGGAGAAAAGGGTTTGGGGTCGGGGGGGGCGCACGCCCCACTCACCCGTAGACGTCGGTGGCGATGCAGGTGCCCAGCACACACAGCGCGTGGATGCGGCTCCCAGGCTGCAGCCGCAGCGTGCGCTCCTGTGGCATCTCGCTGCCGGGATGCCCCGGTGCTGGCTGTGCTGCACAGGGCGTCTTCCTCTCTTCCTCGACCAACCCCCCGCAACGAATCAATCCACCTTCAGAACTCTCAATGCTTGTGATGCTGACTATGGAGCCCTAGCCCCAATACAGGACCCTTCAGATCCACAGGAAAATGATCTCAGGAGGGAGGGAAGGGATGGAGGGGGAGGGCAGCTGGCTTGGTGCCACCCCACTCCCAGTCCCGTGCACTGAAATGGGACAATCCTCTCAACAGGGAGAATGCAAGATGACCTTGGAGGCATTTTTTGCAGCAGCATATCGGGGTTTGCAACCTTCTGTGCCTCCTACACCCCTTCCTGCTCTCTAGGGAAAATATTAGGGAGGAAGACACAATTTACCAACCCCAGGGCAAGAGCAGGGTGCTGCCCTGCTTGCTTTTGGCTTGCGTCCCTTTGCCCAGCTTGGCGCCGTGGCCAGGCCCATGCCGACAGCCCACGCGGGCGTTTTCATCCCTGAGCTGAATATTCATGTTGGAAACCAACCTTCTGCCCCAGATTTTGGAAGAACCTGCTGTAAGCAATTAGAGAGCAAGGAGCAGAAAGGGTCGGTTTGATCTGCCCTTTTTGCATTGCTTTTGGGCTTTTCTTTTTTAGCTCTCTCCTCTGTCCATGACCTGGCCATAGGAAATGAGCTTAAATCCAGTTTCCCATCTGAAGTGAATTCCTTTTATTTCATTTTTCCCATGACCTGAGCAAACAAGGATTTTGCAAAAGGATTTTGCTGCTCTTTTGTGTATGTGCAAAAATAAACATGTTTTCTTATTAAGGAAACAACCCCAAGCACCTCTCACTGTGTGCAAAGGCCCTGGGATCACCCCCTCACTTGCAGTTTTTATGTCACTGGGAGAATTTCCAGCTGCTCACTGGTTTTCTGTGACTCAAGAGATACGTGTATTTATATCCCTGGAGTGATGATATATGGAGACATGGAAGGAGGACTACATGAATGCCAAGGAGCAACCAGGCTGTTGGAGTTCTGGGGAAAGTCCTGATTTGGGGCAAAAATGGAGGAGGGTGGCTGGGTTGCAGGCCGGGGCCAACTGCTCAGTGGGTTCTGTTTGCTGCTGGGCTGGTTCTTGTCTCTGAGGAATTTATGTGGAAGGAGGCTGGGGTCTTTGCATGGCATTAGGGCTCTTTGAAAGCCTTCTGGTGTCATTGCAAGCTTTCAAGGATCTTTGCAAGCCTTCTGGGATCTTGGGAAACTGGACAAAGTTTTTGCAAACCTTGAAATTGTTTGCAAGCTTTCTGGGGTCATTTGTAATCCTCCTAGGGTCTTTGGAAACTGGCAGGTTCTCTGCAAGTCTTTGGGACTCTTTGCAATCCTCCTGAAGTCTCTGTGATCTTGCCAGGGTTTTTGTAGAACTTTGGGGTCTTTGCAAGCTGTGTAGGTTCTTTGGAAACTGCTCAGAGTCTTTGCAAGTTTTCTGGGTTCTTTGTAAGGCTGTGCGAATCTTTGCAATCTTCTTGGGATCCTTGAAGTCTTATGGGCTCTTTGCAAGCTTCTTGGGTTCCCTGCAAAAGGTGTATGGTCTTAGCAAGTCTCTGTAGGTCTGTGCAAGGCTCTAGAACTCTGCAAGCTGTTGGGAGCTTCTACAAAGCACCTTCTCCTTGCAATACTTCCATAAGGGGAAGAAGGATTGGGGGAATCTCTGCAAAGAGGTGATTGTTCTGAGGTCTATACAGCAGGAACGGGGTTTTAAAAAAGGCAGAAGCTGCTCTGTGCTATCAGGTGGGAGATCAGAGCTGGTGAACCATCATGGGACGTGTGTGTAAATATAAATATTCACTCACTGATGTCTGGAGGCTCGTGGTTTCACTGCAATAGTCATTCTGGTCAGAGGAGTTCTCTGGTTTTTAACAATCAGATTAGGAACTGCTCTGCATAAGCATCCTCACTACTGATGGATCTCCGCCTGTCCTAATTTCTGGGGACAGGGATCAATAGCAGCACGGAGTATGCAAACAGCCCAAGCAGCTGCTCTGTGAGGGCTCTCATGCACACAGTTCTGCAGCCCTGAAGGCAGGTGCATGATAGCAAGGAGTAGGAGGGAGACACGAGGGACCCCGTGGCATCTGCTCAAAGTGACAATTTATGATGAGGAGGTGCAACTGTGCCATTCCAAGCAGAGGCAATACCTGGTTTTATCACTTTCCAAAGCATTTTTTTGCTGGTCCAAATCTCAGCCGGGACAGGGGATGCAGTGCCTGCTGCAGTGCATGGGATGCTCCTAAGCACAAAGCCTCATGCAGACAGGAGCGGGACTTGATAACTGGTTCGATGCCTTCCCCTGTTGCCAGTAGTTAGGCTGACAAGGCTCTCAAAATTTGCTGCCTGCAATTACACATGCAGAGTAATAAATGAGGTGTAATTATCGGCTTAGGGAGATTATCAAACTTTCCTTTACTGAGTGGCAGTGCAGGAAAGGTGAGAGGGGAAAAGGTGCCCTGTGGAGTCTGGGTTGTTTGTGGGGGGTCCTGTCTTGCCCTTTTGTGCATGAACAGATCCAACTTGAGGGGAACAAAGCAAGGTCACCCCAAAACCAAGGGGCAATTGGGTCTGATGAAGAGGCATAGGGAGTTGTGAGACATTGTTCCATAACCCTTAATGGCAGCCTCTTGTTATGGGGTGTTATTAGGGAAACACTCAATCCTGAATGGGTCAGATGGCTTAAAAGTGAGATTTTTATGCATGGGCATGTTGGTGCCAATAGCAGGTGGAAGAGGAAAAGGAGGATGCAGCTGACACACACAAAGATGGGCTGCTGGGGCAGGACCGACAGCCAAAAATGCACTGTGATTAAAGCTGAGTCTGTCCGTGGAAAAATAAAAATTGCACCAAACCCTACACAAACATGATGTTTTGGCCCTATAACTTTGTCCCTGATGGATGCGTTTTGAGGCAGCAGAGCCCTGTGCCCAAGCTCTGGGAGCCAGAAACCTCCATCCCCCACCTGCCTGCAGATTACAGAACACACAGCATGGCCCCGTGGGGCTGTAGGTGTGTTCCCTGTCCAGCACAGGGCTCAAACCAGCTGAGCAGGATGCAGTGCTAAAATCACAGCAGGCGGAGAGCTCAGCACTGTGCCCAATCTAAAGCAGTGCGACCACTGGGAAATACAGCATGAAGCTTTATAGAGAGCTTAAAAAGAAATAGAAAAAAGATGTGGTCTTGGCCAAAATCTCATGATGATTCTGCTTGGCAGCAGCTTGATGGGCCTCAGGGATGCAGGAGTCCTTAAAACTTTCTTACAGTAGATTTTGAGAGCCAACACAGCTCCAGTATACAAATGTCACTCTTCATAAATCTATGAATACCGTGAGTTTTTCTCATGCTGGGCTTCAGAACATGGGATTTTACCCCAGATTCCATGCCAAGGTTTTGGAGAGGCTAAAAATGCAGCTAGTGTTTCCTTCTCAAGCATCCTGGCCACCTGGTCAGGCTCTGCTGATTGTATTAACACTGTGTCAGCATGCCAGACTTGGTGCTCTTTGCTGCCACAATTAGGCTTGGAGGAGCCCTTTCATGTAGCCTTGCTGAGACGTTCCAGGCAGCTGCCATGGAGTGTTGGGGTATTGCCCCATGTAAATGGGGACTGTGCTGTTGCCGTATCATATCATGCCTATTGCAATGGAGTAAACCACAGTGGGGTTCTTGGTCTGTTCACCAAGGAGATCCATGATGATGGAGCTTTCCCATCTCCCTGTTCCTCTTCATCCATGGGACATGCCTGCATCCCAGCCCAAGCTCCCTCCTTGGAGCACCAAGACCCATCTCACCCAGTTTTCCTCTTTGCTGGCTAGCGAAGTCTCCTGGGATTGCCCAGAGAGAGATGACTATCTCCAAGAAAAGCTATATTTTCCAGCAACCAGCGCATTTCCCATGGGAGCTTCCAAAGAAAACCAAACCAAACACCAAGCCAACAACACAAAAACAATTCCTCAAATGCCTCATGCAAGCAAAACACCCAGGAATCCCTAATTTCCACTGGAAGCCACTTGCCTTGTTTTGCTTTCTTTTTTTTCTTTGCCTCCCTGCTTGCCAAATAACCAGTTCTCCCTGCACCCATTGCTACCCAGGAGTTGTTAGGGAAGGAAGGACCAACCTGAGCAAACATTTCCTTTTGCTGCAGCGTTACACAGGCATTGCCCTAATGGGGTAGCTGGAGCCGTGAGTCAGCACATGGAAAATTTGGGTTGTTTTAAAGAAAATGCATCATTCTAATGATACCATGTATTATAATAACCCTAAACAACCATCTTGCATAACGAGAGGGGTAGAAATGTTTAATGCATAAAGCTTTGGACTCCTTATATGGAACTATAAGGGAGGTGAGAACAAAAAGGGGAGAATGAGCCCTGAAAGCTGAGTGCCGTGCATCCCCCACCCTTTCTGCCCTGTACCCCCTTCCCGGCCCCGCAATTACCGCCCGGCCCCAGGGGCTGTCTTATCGCCAGCATCACAGAGCGGGGCGGCAGCTTTGCGGATGGCGGAGGTGGAGATGGCAGGGTCCCTGGTCCACCCCATCGTCATCGAGGGACGGGAGGAAGGAGGAGTTACATTCCCCAGCCTTTTAATCCAGTCGTGCTGGTTCACCTACAAAGCTGGGCAACCAGGCAGCAATCTTCTTCACATGCAGCCGCCGTCCCCAGCACACCATGTCCCAGCGCCAGGTCGTGCAGATGTCTACCAGTCATGCCAGCTACGGGGTCTGCGTACTGGGCAGTGAGGTCTTCCTTGACAACCACCGGTAAGGCTCGGGGTCAAGGCGCATCCATAGGGATGATGGGTTTTGGAGGCAACCAATGGCTTTGCGTGTTTTTGGTCTTTGCAAAGGGTGTTAAGAGGAAAGATCTCACGGTGGTTCCGTATACAGGTGCATAAAGGACGTGTGCTCATGGGTCTGCTTTAGGATGCCTGAAGGAGGGATGTTGAATCTAACAACAAAAGCAAGGCATCAAAGTGTAGCCCAGCAAAGACGACTCAGAGGCAAAGCCCATGCACACCCCAGCTAAGTGGGATCTATTTCTGGCAGAAAGAGCATTGGGCAACAGCAATTCA